CTCAAAGAAAACTGACCTTGGGTTCCATGGATTCCCTCAACTTCGATGCCTCAAGAATTGGAGTGTGTTTGACCCCAAGGACGTAAAGAAAAGGCAGCTGGTATTTCACCGTTAACACCCTCTGGCCTCAATACAAGCCAAGTGATGGGGTTACTTGGCCAAAGGAGAGATGCTTAAACTGCACAACCATCCTGGACCTGGACTTATTTTGTGAGAGCCGAGGGAAAGAATGCCTAATCTGAGGTGCCCAATGCGTGGGCCTTCAAGGCTCTACACCAGGATAAAGGATTACACAAACCCAGGACACGCCCCCTAAAGGAAGTGCCTGGACCTGTGGGGACAATCTGATACCACGTTCCGTCCTCAGTCACAGCCCTCCAGCAAGGCAAGCTGAAAAGCTAGAAAGCTCCTCCAAGGACCACCGCCCCCTGCCGTTCACCTTACCAGTGACTTTCACTTGGGCCTGTAGTGGTACATGGAGGACCCAACTTCCTTGCCGTACCTGTAAGCCCAGGCTCTGTATTACAACACCCCAGCAGGGGCCACAGACCTAGAATGATGATAAAAAGCCTCAGGTTAGGGACAAATGATCACACTGAGAAACCTGTTACCTATGACATGGGGTTAGGCAAGGAAGGAAAGCTTGTGCCATTTCTCCCCAGGATAACAGGCTTGTAGGGGATCCGCCTGCCTGGATCCCTGACTCCCTGGAGGAAAAGCTCTTCTGGGTCAAAAATTTTTTAATGAATATATATTCATAAATATATGTATATGGATTTATTAGATTTTATCCTGGCTCACAGGATAGAGACCGGGTAGTCCAACAATGGCTGCACCACACTGGAGAGGCTGAGAAGCTGGTAGTTGCTCGGTTCAGGAGGCTGGATGTCTCAGTAGTCCCAACCTTCTGCCGAAGGCCTGATGGGTGAGTTGGTTACAGCAGCAAGATGAGCTCATCAGTGAGAGAAGGCGAATGGCAAAAAGCCTGGGCCAACATTTTACCAGCCAGGCAGCCCGACATCTGTGAAAAGCTTCCTCCAAACCAGTGCAAACTTAGACCCCACAGACTTAGCTGGTGGACACTGTTGTCAGTGTCCAAGAACAGAGATCTAAAGAAAAAAGCTGAATAAAAGGGAGAAAGGGGCCCTGGGGGCGCAGCTCAGGGGCAGAGCACTGACTGCTTATGTAAGCATGCATAAGGCCCTGGTTTTGTTTCTTTTCTTGTTTTTAAGACAGGTCTCCTAGTAGCCCCAGATGGGCTGACTCTCGCTGTGTAGACCAGGTTGGCCTGTATCTCACAGAGATCCAGCTTTCTGACTCTCCAGTGCTGGGATTAAAGGCATGTGCCACATCCAGCAAGGCCCTGATTGTGTTGACTTTGTATCCTGGTATTTTGCCAAATTCATCCATTGGTTGTCATTAGCCCTGAGTAGAATTTTTAGGGTCCTCTGTATAAAAATCATAGTGTCTGCAAACAGGTTACTTAGGTTCCTCCTTTTTTCTTCACGTTGTATGTTTTATTTGTAAATTGCTGTGCTGTGTGTGCTCGTGAAGCGGCTTTCTGTACTGGACAGCACTGGCAGCAGCAAGTGGCGCCCCCTAGTGTTAGTGCTCTTCTGGAGGGCTGGGAGGCTGGGATTCACTGATCAGGGCAGCAGCTAGCACCAGGCTCCTGACACTTCCTGGGCTTGGGGTATCGGAGACCCTTGGCTCTCAGGGCTCGACAGCTCTTCCCCATTCCTCCAGCAACCAGGGCCTGCAGCCCTCTCGTCTCTGGCCCTCTACAGACTTCCATTGGGTCTGGGCTCTCCTGAGGATATGGATTTCATTCCCCCTGCAGCGCCCACCCCACTCCATTCCTCTCCTGCCAACCCTTTTATGTTGCTGTCAAGCAGCTGGTCGCCTTGCTGCTTTTGCAGTCTGGCCTGCGGGCTCAAGTGTTGTGTGCTGCTGCTCCAGCCAAGCCCTCGCCACTCAAAGCAGTCAAGAGAAGACCTTCCATTGGGCCTCACGTTACAGCAGAGGTGGTGAAGGAGGGGTGTCCCTCAGCCCACCCCTAAGCTTTAAGCCTGTCAGAAGGTGGAGAAGGGGTGTGTGCACCAGTCACAGCCCTGTGGCCTCAGGAGTCGGCAGCCCTGCCAGGCCAGCAGAGGAAGCGAGGCCCCTCCGGTTTGGGTGGGAACCGTCACGTCAGCTAGAGTTCACCAAGCCTCAAAACTGCCTGAAGTCCGGTCCAAGGACAGCAAGAGGTGCTGCACGCGTGCCTCTTCCTTACCACCAACTCCAAAGCTCATTTTAGAGTTTAATCCTGGTTGTGAGGATGAAGAGGAGCTTAACCTGACTATGGTGTTCAGGAATGGGGACTGCTGGGAGGTAACTGGAGAAAGCACACCTCTCTCCGTGATGCCTGGGCTGTCAGGACTGCACACAACCAGATCCATGAGTCAAGAGAAACCTCTTAAGTTTACAATTCCGTCTGTGGTATTTCTACTGACAAAAAACCTAATAATACCTCCTTTTTAAAATTTATTTAGTCAGTTACTCATTTTTGGTCCTTTTGAGACAAGGTCTCCCTGTAACCCCAGGCTGGCCTGGAACTCACTATGTAGATCCGCCTGCCTCTGCCTCCTGAGCACTAGGATTAAAGGTGTGTGCCACCACTCCCAGATCCAAACCACATTTTAATCTGATTGTATTGAATAAAAAAAAATTTTTTTTTTTTTTGGTTTTTATCCTGTAGCCCCAGCTGGTCTGGAACTCACCATGCAGACTAGGCTGGCCCTGAATCACACACGTCATTCCTGTATGTGACCACACTCTCTTCTGCACTTCATTAAAAACTGTCCAATGCCAGATTCTAAATTATGTGTCCCTATATATTTGTGTGTGGGTATGTGCATGAGCCAGGACAAGTCATCAGACCCCTGGAGCTGAGGTATAGGTGGTGGGTGGCACCATGCAGGTGCTGGGCACTTAATCCAGGTCCCCTGGAAGAGCATAAAGTGCTCTTAACCACTGGGCCCTCTCTCCAGTCCCTGGACAGTATCATCAGTAAAGTGACAAGAAAGCGCTGTGTTTTTAAAAAAATATTTTTATGTGTATGAGTGTATTGCCTGCATATATGTGAGTGCACCCGTGTCATGCAATGCCGTGGTCAGAAGAGGGCTTTGGATTCTCTGGAACTGGAGTTAAGGATGGTTTGTAGCTGCCATGTGGGTGCTGGGAATCGCACCTGGGTCCTCTGCAAGAGCAGTCAGTGCTCTTAATCGCTGAGCCACCTCTCCAGCCCCTAAGTATTTTTGTGGGTGTGTTTCCATTATACAAACACCTAAATTGTTGAGTCTTAAGTCAGAAATTTGCCTAAGCACAGGTGCTAACCAGATTTCCAAACAGGATGCATCGATTCCAACAGTGACATGAGGTTCTGGAGGCCCCACACTTTTATCTTTGGGCATTTAGCTGGGTGGGGATTGTTGGTGAGAAATGTCCCCTACAGGGTCATGTTGGGATTTGGTCCCAGGTGTGACACTAGGGTTGTGGACCCTTAGGTGTGTGTACTAGAGGAAGTTGCTGTGGTTGGGCTGAATCCTGCAGAGTCAGGATTCAGTCCTGCTTCCCTGGCAAGGGTGGATCACCACCTCACCCTGTGAGCCACAACCACATCCTTAGAGTGGCTTCTCGTCCCATCAGAGCGAACCTCACACAGCAATTATTTTACAACTCCCCAGGAGGCAACACTGAGCGTCCCCCATCCTGAGGGATTACACACGTCTTTGTGGATATGCTGAAACCTCGACACTTCACCATGCTCTAGATCAGTTTTTCTATTCAGTCCATCCTTTCAAGGCCTGCTTCGTTCTGCTGGAAGCCCAGCCTCTTCCTTTGATGGCTTGTGCTGTGGCTACAGAACACTGCCCTTAAAGACTGAGAGCATCACTGTCTAGATGTGTATTTTTGGTTATCTCTGCGTACGTTGTCTAGGAGGAATCAGTGTTTCCATACGAACATCCATTCATTTACAGATATGAAATGGTTGCCTGCCCATCTGTATGCACAGGTACATGCAGTACCTGTGTTGGCCAGAACAGGGCAGGGGCTCAGATCCTGTGGAACTGAAGTTCTAGGTGGTGGTAGGCCACCTAATTGGGAACAAAACCTGGATCCTCTGCAAAAGCAGCAACTGCTCTTAACCACTGAGCAATCTCTCCAGCCACATCCAGTTTTAAATGCAAATACAAGTGGGGTACCAGACGAGGCACATGGTATAGTGCATCCCAACACAGAACAATTGAATTAATTGAACTACAGATAACGTGATTTTTTTTTCTGGGGATACAGGTGCTAAACGACACAGTTACAGATTGAGTGCACAGCAAGGCCAGCAGGAGACCCTCGAGGTTGAGTTAGCATTTATTGCACATTCCCAGAAGTCAGATACCATCCTGCCAGTGAGCCTATGGAGTCATTGCTGTCTCCTCAGCTGACAAACACAAGGTGAGACGACCCCTAACCTGCCCTGGTGACACCGTCATGCATGCCTGAAGTGGGCTGTGACGACCAAGGACTGGACTGTGTGGACAGACACCTGCCTGAAATGCAAACTTTCTAACGATGGCTCAGTGGGTAAAGGTGCTTGCTGCCAAGCCTGACAACCTGAGTTTGGTCCGAGACCCAGGTGGTAGGAGGAGAGACTCCTAGCTGACCTCTGAGCAGCACGTGTCATTTCAAAATCTTAGCCCAGGGTGGCCGCCTCCTAGGTGCTGGGATGCCAGCACTCAGCCTAGCCTAGCATCACTTAAAAGTGTAGCATCCCTTTTTAAATATTTTTGTTTTTGTGTGTGTACTGCCTGCACGTAGGTAAGTGTACCCGTGTCTTCTTTTGCAGGAGCTGGTGTGCCCAGGAGCTGAGGGCAGGTGACACTAATGGCTGGCCACACTGGCTCTCTTGGCCCCACACCATGTCTGGTTTTTGAAGCCCATGAAAGGCACAGGAGGAGCTCTCTAGAAACAAAGAATCAGGTTTATTTTTTGCTGTTACTTTTAATACAGGTATTGTACTGTAGACATGTTAGTCTTGCAATTTATGTGGCCAGTACACAGAAAGGAGGAGCAGGAACTTGCCACAGGCCTTGGCTGACACCCTCCAACCCCACACACTCTTCTCATCCTTGGAGCTTTCCCCAAGACAAGCAAACAGAAGTCCTGCCTGCAGACAACACCCAAGTGCTCCTTCCCAGCAGGCAGTGGGATGGAGAAGCCGGCCCAATCCACAGCGTGGAGGCAGTGTGGGCGACACAGGGCCAAACCCTGCTGCTTGCCACCGGGTGAGACACATCCCTGCATCAGCAATGTGAGGTCTGGGCCACGCGTGTCCGCCATCCCTGAGAGGAGCAGAAGGAGACGTCCTCTGGTGGCACCAGGCTCCAGAGAGCACGGTCTCCTGAGAGCTCTGCAGAGGGTCCTGAGCCGGCGTGCATGGCCACCAAAGCCCCTCGCCACCAGTCCCACGGCTTCCTGCTGCCCCACGGAGCTTGGTGAGCCAGGCCAGGCCACCGCAGCAGCCCCAGGCAGCCCCTGCACTGTCTAAAGTGAAGAGCGAACAAGGAATAAGGCACCGGACGTTTGACTCTTTATTTCCACACTCGGTGCCATGGAGGCCCACTGCTTGTGGTGCAGGCTCTGAAAAATTCGTTGGCCATTTTTCAGAATATCCTTTTGGTTTTAAATACTGGTCAGGAAAAACAAATGATGTAAAAATACGTGAATAATTTTCTATTACAGAAATGAAAAACTGATTTGCATGTAAAAGGGCAAGAGGTGAGGCGACTTACCCTCTCACCAGACAATACACGATATATTGCTTCCACCGTTGGAGAAGGCTGGGGTGTCTTTTATATTGACATAGAAAATTATAAATGACGTTGAATTAGTATTCATAATCACTGGATATACACAAACCAGCTATAAAAAATACACTGGTTCAGAATTTACGAGTGAAAACCTCACAAGGTACAGTAAACAAGGGACATGCTTAGGTGCCAGATTTTGATTCTACTTAAACCACTAGCCTGTAAAACGAGCGCGCTCCAATTCTGCCAGCAGCACGCGTGTTTTGGTGACTCGCGTGTGTGACTTAGGTGCAGTGTGGATGCAGACCGCTCCGAAGTGGTCACTGAGGATGCTTGTTAACATGGGACACATTTTGGTGAATGGGTTAAAAGGCGGAAGAACCACCAAAAGAAAACAAAACCAAACCAAATAAAGGAACAGACCCAAAGCACAGCCATGTGCACTCCAGTAACTAGTGTTTCACCTCAGGATCGCTTCAAGCACACAAGACTGTAAGAGAGCGTATGGCTTTACAAGAACGTCAACTCGTCAACTAGGTCGCAGCAATAAATAATCTACCAACAAGCTTACGTTTCTGATCCACTTTAAACAGTACAGAAAACAATTACCAACCAAAACCGGATGTAAAAAGAACACCAAAGATTCTTATTCAAAATCACTTTGTAAGTCAGAACAACCAAAATGACACTTGGAGAGCGTTTCCATCGACAACTCCTTGGCAACCTGGAAGAAAAATGAATTCAGACTTTTGTACAAGGTGAAAAATGTGTGGAGACTGCCTAATACTTTGGTCACACTAATAATTGTCAAATATGCTTCAAATACAATAGATCTGTGTATCCACTTTTATAAAACTATTCTTACAGCCATATGAACTATGTATTACTGCTATTGTTACATGGCAGCAAGATCCGGCTTCACAGGCTGCCCATTATTTAGATCAATACAATATAAACATACGCAAAAAATCTTGATATTTGTCCATGTGCAATATTTTTACACTTCTCACTTTGTCTGTACAATGTCTTAGAATCTAGAATATAAAGGTTGCTGGTCCTGATCCCTTGCAGCAGTTGACGGCTTGGTGGCTCTGATGACCCCTCCAGAGCCCCTGGGTGGTGGTGGCCTGCAGTCCTCACTCAGCAGCACAGATGTTACTCGTCATACAGGGCCATTAACAGACGTGTCACTTGGTGCACTTGGCTGGTCAGTCCTACGGGGAAGGAGACAGACACCTGAGGGGCTTGAAGCTGAGCCAGGCAAGGTCAGCTCTGCCCGCCCTTCGTCCAGGGAACATGGCTGCCAAGGGTGGTAGGGCAGGTGTGGAAGCCCCCCTCACTCAGCCCCTCAGAACTGCAGGCACACATGTGCACAACAGTTGGGCTTTCAGACTGCTGCTCCCAGAGCTTCAAAACTCTGATCTGTGCTACAGTGGGGTGCACAGCGGTTTTCACATGACGAGCAGGGCTTTGCTACTAGGAAAGGAAAAGGCGAAAACATCTGTAACCAGGGTGACCACTGAAAACAAAGGGGACACCTAGCTAAGCTGCTCCCACAAAGCAAACGTCTGCTTTAACCTGGGAGGAGGAAGAGCCAGACAGCACAGAAACAAAGTGGGAAATGAATGTGGAGACTGGGCCTTCCTGCCAAAACACACTGAGCGCTTAGAGCTTCTCTAGGGCACAGCAAGGATTTAAAAGGCCTTGGCAGCACACAAATGCCCTTCAACTAGACTGCCTTCAGTCCTGGAGGACTGTCAACAAACTGGGTCCAAGAGGGCCCCATTCTAATGCTAATTGACGTGATGGTGCCTCAGTGTGTCAGGCACAAGGACTGAGAATACGGAGCCAGACTGAACTAGGTTGTGCCTGCCCTCACCACTCAAGCTGCGTGCTCCTCCGCACCTTTCTGCCCTCACCACTCAAGCTGCGTGCTCTTCCGCACCTTTCTGCCCTCACCACTCAAGCTGCGTGCTCCTCCGCACCTTTCTGCCCTCACCACTCAAGCTGCGTGCTCCTCCGCACCTTTCTGCCCTCACCACTCAAGCTGCGTGCTCCTCCGCACCTTTCTGACCTCACCACTCAAGCTGCGTGCTCCTCCGCACCTTTCTGACCTCACCACTCAAGCTGCGTGCTCCTCCGCACCTTTTTGAACCTCCTGGCCTGCTCTCTTCCGCAGAAGGGGACAACAATGCCTCCCCTGCGGCTCGCTCTCTCTGGTGTGGCAAAACACGGGCTCAGCAACTAAGCAGACGACAGGCAGGACAAGCGCTGGTGCGGCCAGGTCTGGCGGCAAGCCAACCCTTCGGGTCACAGTGAATAGCCCTGGAAGCCCAGGGCATGGCAGAAGAGCGTGCAGCAGGCCCTAGGGAGGCCGGCACTGCCATCTTCCCCACCCCACCGGCTGCTTCCAAACACAGAGAAGTACCTCGGCCTCCCCTGGCACCAGCCGGGTGCCCCTGTGTGGAGAACACCTTTTCCATTCCTGCACTCGGTCCTGCAGCCCCCTCCTGAGCATGGCCTCCTGCCTATAGACTGGCTGCCCTGACAGGGGCGAGTGAGGACAGGCAGATGGAGGGAGCATGCCTGTCCTGCTGGCTTGCCCCAACTTTCTGTGGCTCACCCTCCAGACCCAGGCCCTTCATGCCACATTTCCAGCCAGAGGAGCCCAAGTAGGAGTCTTCAGCAAACAGGTCTGCAAGGCAGACCCAGGACAACCCCACAGCCTCCTTTTTGATTTACCGAGAACAAACTCCCCAGACTGGCCTGCTTCTTGGCAGGCCTCAGGGCAGAGGAAACAAGCAGAAACCTGTGGGACATTTCAAGACACACTGAGAACCCCAGGGAAGAGGGGACTTGCCCAAACTGTGAGGCACTCTGCTGGACTGGAGGGTCATCTGCCTCCCCCAAAGCCTTCTTAAAGCCAGCCTGCTCAAATACTGTTTATAATTAACTTTACATGCTCTTTTAAAATCACAAAACCAAAACTTGACTTTTTATAAAAAAATTTATTTCCAGTATTTCTTCTTTTTAAATTTTATTTATTTATTTTTAATTTTATGTGTAATGTGTATATTGCCTGCATCTGCCTCCTGAGTGCTGGGATTAAAGGCATGTGCCACCATGCCCAGCTTTAATGGTTTTTTAAAAAAATATTTATTTTTATGTGTATGCGTGCATTGCCCGAATGTAGCTAAGTGCACCCGTCCGTTGTGCAATGCCCTCGGAGGTCAGAAGAGGCTGTTGGATGCCCTGGGACTGGAGTTACAGACAGCTGTTGCCACGTGGGTGCTGGGATTTGAACCCGGGTCTTCTGCAAGAACAACCAGTGTTCTTAACCGCTGAGCCATCTCTCCAGCCCCTTTGCCTAGCATCTCTGAGGGCCTGCTGCTGCAGGAAGACAGAGGCTTCCTGATGAGTAAGAGGCAGCCCCTGCTGGTTCTTGCCACTGTGTTCCGCCAAGCCTAGCCTGCCAGGAGAGTCTAGCCCAGAGGTAAGATGCTCTACAATAGCTTTAAATGCCACTTTAACCTTATGGAGGGACATGTCTCACATATTTTTGATCAGAAAAGTGAGTTCTGGGAAGTGCTAAGCAAAGCTTCTTGCTGTCCAGGGCACATCCTCACTCATCTTCGGGCCTAGGCTCCTATGGATGGATCCAAGGCAACCTGGCTCTACCTGCATGGCCACGTGGACAGGTGCTGGCCCTCCACCTGAGGATTTGGCTTGGCCCTATCCCTTCAGACCACTGGCTCAGTCTAAGCAAAAGGTGATGAGAAAGAAAACACCATCTCCAAATCCTAGGGCTCCGAGAGTGGGATTGCCACACTCAAGACACATCCAAGCCCTTGGGGATCAACCCCAGAAGGGCTCCTGAGAGGTCTGGGAGTGTTTAGGCTGGACAGAGAAAGGGCCTCAGCCAAGTTCCCTGGTGGTATCCAGGCCTACTTCCCTCACAGGATCATGAAAGAGCCTTGTCCTAAGAGGCTCAACACCATCCACATCATAGCCTTCAAAACAGGGTGACTATGTCCTGAGCAGTTCCCTCCTGAGGACCCATCTCTGAGCCAGACACTCTCAGCTGGGCACCTACCACTGAAGGCCCAAGAAATGCCACAGCACCACTACACTGTGAAGGCTTGGGCACAGTCGCAAAGACATTCCAGGGCCCTATCCCCAGGGGTTGGCACCCCTCTACCTCCCAGGAGACACCAAGCAGAGTGGGCCTGGGAGGGTACAGGCAGACGGGCGATTACCTTTGCTCGGGACTACTGCTGGGGGGCCTGAGGGCTGCGCACTTGGCCTCTGCGGGCTCTGGGCTCTCCTCCGCATCCCTGCAAGCAGCATCCTGAGAGGTAGACAGTTTTCCTTCCTCACTACAGGAGAAAGAATGACAGGTGTGTCACACATCAGGCACAATGTCCAGGCCCAGAGGATGAGGTCACATGCAAATGGCTCTGAAGTCATGACTGCCATGGAGGCAAGCCCTGGGGCTTGAGCATGCTCAAGGTGGAAGGATCACAGGAAGGCAGACAGTGACTGGGGAACCACGAGAGGAAAGGGCCACACACAGGTGGGAACCAAGAGGGTCAATGTAATGTGGCTGGTGTCTGAGAGAGAGCGGTCCGTGTCACCGTACATACCGGCAGGACTTCAACACTCTGAGGCCAAGTGTGCAAAACAGAAAAAGAAATGTACAAGAGTTTCAGAACACTCCTAGAAATGAGGAATTGGGGAAACATGTCCACGACTGCACATAGGCACCCCGCAGAGTCGGTGGAGGTGTGAAGAGAACCTGTTTGAAGGAACGAGCCTTTAGTTCCACCGAGCGCTCAAGGCCATGCCCACCACTCACTCGCTCCCTGGCTGGCAGCCTCGGGTGGGTGAGGAGGTACCCACTGCTGAGCCAGGTAGAAAGACTTCTGCTGCCGTCCAGCGGTGCTTATGAAGAGCAGGCACCAGGAAGGAAGGGCAAGGGACCGACAAGAGCTGCCGGCGAAGGGGACTCGGGGAGCATGGAACATGGGCGGCAGGCGCCTACCCTGCAGGGCCCTCGGTGGACAGGACAGCAGATGCTTTCCTGACTGCGCTGGAGACATGTCTGCTCTGCCTGGATTCACACTTCACCCAATTCAAGGCGCTTCCTAGGAAAGCCATGCCCTCAGAGCCAAGTCTTGCCCTGGATTTGCTTACAAAATACCTGATTTTAGGACAATGACTTCAGGTGGTTTCCAGATGGTTCCATATAGTTTTAAGTAGGAAAATGAACCAATTACAATCTAACAATTTGGTGACCATGTGAATCACCTAGTTCCTTACTCACTCTTCTCTGCAGTGCTGGGGATGGAGCCACCAAGCATCCCCTCTTCTATTTCCTGCCCTTCAAGGCAACTGTCCTAATGTACTTATTCATCAGTGTGCTTTTAATCCAAGCCACAGGCCTAGGCACTGAACCCTCAGTCTGTTTCTCTGAATTAGCACATCTGAAGCTCCACGTGATCCTGTAGAATACCACGTCCACAGTGAACACCACCACTCTGTGACTCCCTACAGTAACGAGTGTCCAAACCACCATCCACCTCCTCCAGGTCTCAGCCAGGTGGCTGCAATAGGCCAGTGTGGGCATTTCTCAGGGCTGCTGCCCAGAAGGAAGCTGTGGGTCTTCTTTCTTTCCCTCCCTTCCCCCTTCCCTTCCCCCCTTCCTTTCAGTCTTTTTGAGACAGGGTCTTCCTGTATCCCCACCTGGCCTTGAACTCGCTTTGTAGACCAGGATGGCCTTGAACTCACAGAGATCCACCTGTCTCTGCCTTGACTGCTGGGATTAAAAGCCCGGCATGTGGGCCATCTTTCTATCAAGAAAGCCTCTCCTTCCAACCTGCCTTCCCCACCAGCACTTAGTCTGAGTCCCCTTCCAATCTCTCAGGTCTAGGAGGGAGGGGAGAGAGCTGTACTGCCCTGGCAAATGGTTCTGTAGTAACTTAGAAGTTTACTTTTTTGGCCCAGCACTTGGGAGGCAGAGGCAGGTGGATCTTTGTGAGTTTGAGGCCAGCCTGGTCTACAAAGCGAGTTCTAGGACAGCTGGGGCTACAGGGAGACCGTTTCAAAAACACCAAAAAAACCCCAAAAAAACAAAAAAGTGTTTTTGGTTTACTTGCCTGTGAAGTGTGCTGCTGCTCATTTTGGTTTAGGCTTCCCCTCCTACACCCATCCACTTCCTCCTTTCCTTTTGAGTCAGGGTCTGACATAGTGTGCAGCCCAGACTGGTCTCAAACTCACTATGTGGGCTGCAGATATGCGTCAGTTGGTAGAGCACCTGCATAGTATAAAGTCCTGGGTTCTGTCCACAGTACAACATGGACAGGGTGTGGTGGACCACACCTGTATCCTAGCAGTCGGGAAAGAGTGGCAGTAAGATCAGAAGTCGAAGGTATCCTCAAGCTGAGTTTGGAACCAGCCTGGGTTCTATGAAACTGTCTTTAGCTCCTACCCCCAACAAACAAACTCTAGACAGGTCTGGAGTGGACAGCGACCCTTCTGTCTGGGACTCCTGAGTGCTGGGATTGGTCCCTGGCACTGTTCTGATCTAGGGGTCCCTGGAATAGTAAGCGCCAGCCTCGAGTCCATGAAGTTCATGCTTCTCCCACCTGTCCTCAGCCATCAGCTGAAACTCCATGCCCACAAAATGCATCTCACTTTTTGTGGTTCTAGTTCTGATGTGAATATCTGGCTTTGTTTGGAAAAATAGCCTTTTCTTGTCATGGATCAGAGTATATTCTAGCCTTTCCTCTGCTAGCTACCCTGAGAGATGTGGCCACAGCTTAGCTCTAGCCCCTGCTTCTGTACCTGGAAGCATCTCACAGGTTGGCCAGAGAAAGGAGCTTAGGGTGCAAAGTGTTTGGAATCTAGACAGGGTCTCACTGTGTGACCCGGTAACACACTGATTCCTGGGTGCTGAGACAACAGGCACGCCTCATTGTGCAATGCTGGTGTGTCTTGTGTCTACGAGTGTGTACTTGCCCACGTGTGTGCAACGCAGAGGCCAGAGGCTGACGTCAGATTGTCTCCCCCATCTGCTTTCCACTCATTATCCGGGCCAGGCTTCCCAGGGAACTGGAGCTTGCCCAAGTCCCCAGCTGTCCCTACCTTTCACGTGCATGTTGGGATCTGAACTGAAGTCCTTGCAGTTTCTCAGCACTTCACTCAGCAAGTCGACCCCTGAGCCCTGCCAGCCTGTTCTCCTCCTAACCCTGCTTCACAAAGTGCTCAGGGGACTTCTGGCTGGAGTAGCTAATTCCTTCCTTCCTTTTTAAAAATTTTTAAAAAATATTTTATTATTTTTATTTATTTATTTTTTTGTTTTGTTTTTTGTCTTTTTTGAGACAGGGTCTCCCTGTAGCCCCAGCTGTCCTAGAACTCACTGTGTAGACCAGGCTGGCCTTGAACTCACAGAGATCCGCCTACCACTGCTTCCCGAGTCCTGGGATTAAAGGCATGCGCCACCATGCCCGGCTATTATTTTTATTTTGTGTGTATGAGTGTATCACCTGCATGTATGTGAGCGCACCTGTGTCATGCAGTGCTGCGGAGGTCAGAAGAGGGCTTTGGATTCCCCTGGAAATGGAGTTAAGGACGGTTCGTAGCCGCTATGTGGGTGCTGGGAATCGAACCTGGGTCCTCTCCAAGAGCCGTTAGTGCTCTTAACTGCTGAGCCACGTCTCCAGCCCCCCTCCCTTTCTTCCTTTTCTAACGGCGCTGGGGACCGACGTAGGGCCTTGTGCATGCTGGACAAGGCTTCTATCACCGAGCAACCTTCCCCTCCATTTCTTCTATCACAGTGGCCCAGCTCCCCCACGACCCCCACTAACACCAGAGCTTTGAGGATTGTGTCTCTGTAGCATGACTTTGTGGGTGGCAGGCTGGGTCCCGACTGCCCCTTTTCATCATCTAGACAAGCTGGGAACCTTATGTTTATACCTGAATTTTAGAGCAAATGATCTGCATTACAACAAATCCTAAATGGACAAAATGATGTGCTCTGTGAATGATACCCTGGCTCTTTATTCTTTATTTAGTTGCTTCTTTCTGATGTAAAGTTACTCATTTTTTAAAAAACGGGTCTCTTGTTAGTTTTTCTGACCAGTGTTGCTGAATTCTTACTAGGTGCTGGCTGCTAATGTGGCAGTATGTAGGTCAGCACCGTGTCTGCAAACCACGGGCTAAATTTTACAGCTTCCTCCCAGTCTCCCTCACCACCTCGAGGGACACAGCAGTGATTGTGGGCAGCTGTCCTCCCTCATGTTTCAAAGAGGACACACCTGAGACACATCACTGAATTTAGTTCCTACTGTAGCATCTGGCTGCTCCGTTTTTAGAAAAATGTTAAGTGTATGAGTGTTTTATTTGCATATATGTAAGTGTACCATGTTGTGTAATGCCTGAGGGGACCAGAAGCGGGTGTTGGATGCCCCGGAGCTGGAGTCCTAGGCAGCTGTTAGGCACTATGTGGGTGCTAGGAACTGAACCCAGGTCCTCTGTAGGAGCAGTCAGTGTTCTTAAACACTGAGCCATCTCTCTAGTCCCAGGTGTTTAATTCTTACCAAGTTAAAGAAATTTACTTCTACCATGGTTTTAACCATGTATAAGTGTGGCACCTTATAAACAGATTTTCCTGGTACTGAAGCATCCTTGTATTCTAGGATTCAGTAGTATTAGCTTACATAGGGCTTTGGAATTTTGCTTATCTGTAAGCAAGCTATTCTTTTTTTTAAGACTTCTGTGGTTTCAGAGTGAAGACTTCACAGCCACCACAGAACCCAGGCAGTCTTTGAACTTTCTATAGCCTGGAAGAACTTCAGACTGGAATCAGACTACATATAGGGCATGAGTCAGCACGGTGAAAGCCCTTAGGCTCCCCACCTCCCTGATATCTGGTCTTCTCTGCTCCAGCATAGAAGTTTCTATGTTCTTTCTTGGTTGTGGCTTTCTTTTCATCTAAGTGTGTCTTTTGCAGTATTAGAAATTAAATAAATCCACTAATATTTTTCTTTATGTTTAAACAATGTTTCACCTGAGGCTGGAGAGATGGCTCAGCAGTTAAGAGCACTGACTGCTCTTGCAGAGGACCTGGGTTCAATTCCCAGCACCCACATGGTGGCTACGAACCATCCTGAACTCCAGTTCCAGAGGAATCCAAAGCCCTCTTCTGACCTCTGCAACATTGCACGACACGGGTGCACTCACATACATGCAGGCAATACATTCACATACATTAAAAAAAAAAGTTTCATCCCCAAATAGGAAAAACAGTCTCATGCTGTCTCCTGAGGTCCACCCCAGGTCACCTCAAGACAAGAAGCCTGCTTCTATCTTTCTTCTAGGGAGAGAGGTTTCCCAGGAGTCTGCTCTTCTCATTGGACTGTAAGTCATTCTAGCGAGCCAAGTTCAGGCTGAGGGACTCTCTGTGTACTGCTCTGTGCTAGCTGCTTTACTAAGAGGCCTTAGATTGAATGTGGTAAAGCCCTGACCTCTTGTCTACAAAATGATCTTGGCTCTCTTTGCTCTTCAGAAATGTATCAACTTCCAGAAAACTCTTCACAGGGGTGATGGGAATTTCACTAATTCTACACATCGATTTGCTGAGATGTCAAAGACATCCTTCCATTAATAAACCTAGCAAATCTCAGTATTTATTTCAGGTCTTTATTACATATTTCAGTGAGTTTTTAATTCTTTTTTCCTTAAAATTCGTAGTTACTGATGAGTTCTCATATTTTTATTAAAAAAAAGACACATCTAGAACCCTACTGGTTTATAGGACAAAGTGATTTTTGTACATATCCAATAAACTTGCAAAACATTGCTATTCATTTTTTGTTAAAATCTATTTATATTTGTTTTATGTGTATGAGTGTTTTGCTTACTTGGACCTAAGTGTACCACACGTGTGTAATGCCCTCGGAGGCCAGAGAGGGCATCAGATTCCCTGGAACTGGAATTATGGGCAGTTGTTAGCCACCATGCAGGTGCTGGGAACTGAACCCAGGTCCTCTGCTCTTAACTACTGAGCTATTTCTCCAGTCCCTAAATTTTAATTCTTATCTACAGATTCACATGGAATTTCCTAACAATGAGCATTTTATTTACTTCAAATCTTTGGATCTTTGTGTTTCTATGCTGTGTTCATCAGGAGCACCAGCTGCTGCTGCTGACAAGAAGCACCTGCAGAGCAGAAGGTCCCACACCACACATAATATGCTGATAGTATACAGGCTTGTAACTTAAACATCGTTTTGGGTTAGGTATGCTATTTAAAATTTTTTAATTGATGATGATGACGTGTGTGCAATGTGTGTTATGTGTGGAGGTCAGAGGACAACTTCCATGAGTTAGTGCTCTCCTCCTACCAAGTGCTCCACAGATCTCAAATTCAGGTCAGCAGGCTTCTGTGGCAAGTGCCTCTATCTCTTGGGCCACCTCCCTGGTCCTGGCTTGTGTATGTATAGGGGGGTGTTCAACCAGAGCTCAACCTTGGGTGTCTGTCATTCCTTATGAGCTTGTTTTCTGAGATAGGGTCTCTCACTGGGACATGAGCCAAACCAAACAGTCTAGGTTGGCTGGTCAGTGAGCCCCAGGGATCCTGTCTCTGCCGCTCCAGCACTGGGATTCTATGATGTGTCACCATGCCCAGATATTTATACCAAATGCAAAGCAAGCATTTACCGACTAAGTTACTTCTCCGGCCCATCTGCTAGCTTTTAAAGGAAAAGTATCCGCATGGAGGCCAGTGACGGCAGTGCTCCACAATCCATCTCACTTGCAGGTGGTTTTGTCTTGTGGTTGTCTCCTGTGATCAGTGAAAGGATTCAGACCTTTCCACTGCCTTCGCTGCAGGCCCTAAGACTTGATACTAGTGTTTCTGTTATCGGTTCACAGTGTGAAATGTTAAATTTCCATTATGGCTCCTTTTCTAGCCCATGAGTTCACAGAAGTGAGATAGATGTCAGTTTCCAAAGAAGTCTGGTGAGGGTTTTGGTAGTAGTTGTTTTTTGTTTTGTTTTTGTAGACAAGGTCTACCTAAAGCCCAAGCTGGCCTGAAATGCAATACACAGACCAGGCTGGCCTTGATCTCACAGTGACTGTCTCTGCCTCCCAGTGCTGGGAACCAAGGTGTGAGCTCCACACCCAGTCAAAGAACTCTGGTTTTGGTCTCTGTCCATGTCAGTCTGTAGGCTGCTGAGGCAGCTCTATAGCCCCAATACAAAGATGTACTGATCATCTTAACACATCAATCTGCAAGTCACAGTCTTCTGAAGACACACACAGGGAAAAAGGCACTTTAGGGGCCTGAATTCTCCATCTTGACTGTGATCGAGCTGAAATCTGAGCACTCTTGAGTGAAGGGAGAGCATTTGCTCTATTCCTCCCCCTACTAGGCTGCCGCTACAGGACCAGGCCCTGGTTACCTTTTGAAGACCGCAGTCTCTGTCTTGGCATCTACAGTGAGGCTGAGTGTCTCCTTCATGCCGCCATTCATCACGGTCTCAGTTACCTTGTCCGCACTGTCTGCGTCCTCCTCCCCATCGGAGCTGGCTTCCATGGCCACGCTGCCTGGCACTAAAGTACAGAGTGGAAGGTCACACACCACACATAACTCGCAACGGCTGCCCCTTTTCTGTGCAGACTCCCACACCTGAGCCACACCTATTGCTTGAAGATGGTCAGAGTGACATGCCTGCCTGGGGCTGCCTGGCTAAGTTCTTGGGGGGCACTGGCTCTCTCAGTGGAGGGCTGGGAGTCCCATATACCTTCCCAGCTTCCTCCTAGCAGACCCAGCTCCTAGGGCCACTCCAGAGCTCAAGGAAGTGTGTCCGTGGATCTGTCTGCCTTTGCTCTATGACAGGAAGCTGCATGATATGCTAGTGACAAGCTTGTAGTTGTCAGCTTCTGGCCTTGAACCTGGTGCCCAGTTTTCTAACTGTGAAACCCTTGGTAGAGGTGCTCTAGTCTATGCCTCTATTTCCTCATTCACCAGACTGGGTGTGACGGGTAGTTTCAGCTGTCATCTGGGAAGAGTCTTAATGAGGAATATCTAGATCAGGTTGGCTGTGTCAGGGGCGCACCATCTCATGGGCAGGGCTCTGAGCTGGTTAAGGGAGGGGAAAGCTAGCTGAGTATCCACAGTAGTGAGGAAGCAAGCATGTGTATATGCTCTCTGCTCTTTGACTGATGTGACAGCCCAGCTACTTGAGCTCCTGCCTTCTCTGGGAAACGACGGACTGTAAACTGGAATAGTAAGCCAAATCAACTTTCTGTTGCCCTGTCAGGATGTTCTACCACAGCAACAGAAATGAAACCAGAACCAGCCAGTGGAGCTCTGACAGAACGTCTGTGGGTTCAAATGTGTTAAGGGAGAGGCCACATCCCCACAGCCACTGGCCTGTCTCCTTTCCTGACAGGTCCTGCTTCCGGGACCTCTGCTGGCAGCCTCCTTCTTTTCCCAGAAACTCACTGCTTCGTTTCTCAGGCTCCTGCCTCCACATGTCTACTCCCCCGCACACCCTTGTCCATTCCACATTCTCCCAAATCCCTGTTCATACGTCTGCAAGCAGGTTCTGAGTCAATGCAAGAAACACAGGCGAGCAGCCCTGGGATGCAGACATCTGTGACCACTTCACCTGCTCACAAGGGAGGAAAGACCAGCCCCACAGCCTAGAATGGGCTTTAGCAAAGCCAATTCCAGGGGCACCTGGACATGGGATGGGTGTCTGGTCTGGTTTCTCTGCCCTGGGTACTGTGGGTCAAGATCCTTCTCCTCACTGGCTCTAGGGTCCTGGCCTGACCACTGACAGGACTAAGCCTTGGAGCATACTCCTAGAACCACAGAACAGTGGTTCTAGAACACTCCATTTCGTCTCCTGAGAAGCCCAGTGAGCGAGACAGCCCACATCTAATTTTCCTGGCACCCTCTGGCAAAGTCTGGTCTGGTTTCCTCTACCTGCTCTCTGCACATGGCGGCACACTGTACTTACCCTCTGGCTGTGTGGCCAGGACAGCTGCAGCAGGGGTCAAGGGGTCCACAGGGTCGGTGCTGGTTTCCATTTCCACTGGAGAATTACTCCTTAGAGAGTCTTTCGTGCTTTCGGAAAAAAGAGCATTCAGATGTTAGCAATGGCACGTGCTGAGTGGCACAGGAGACAGGCTCGTGGCTACTGCTCAAATGCCAACACTCAGGGAATCATGAAGTCAGAGTTCTGTTGTGGGGGCAATGGAGACACTGGGCCAGGTGCCGACCTGTCCCACTCTAACTAACAGCAACTAAACTGGAGGAAAGTGAGACAGGAGTTCACACACTTGGGGAAGTCAGGTTCTACACCTTGTGTCTGCCTGTACCTCCCAGAGCTGCCTGTCAGGAATGCATTCCTACTCTCATTCTATCGGTGGCAGAGCCAGCTCCTGAGGTAGCCATTTTTCCCTTCTGTCCTGCTAAATGCCACGAGCAGAGCCTTACTCTTAAGGCATCACAGTCAACGTAGAGTGGGTCACTTGCCATCAGTGACTGTACGTCACTCTGTTTCCTCAAGAAAGACTGAAGACAGCACACACTCGCTCACCTCAGAGAGGATGTGAACTCGGAAAAAGAAGCCCAGCCTGTCTCTTTGGCTGGCATCGGCTCCTCTGTGCTCCAGACATCAGAGCCCACTGAGTCCAAGGGAGCGCTGTGGGTGGTTTCCATTGGGACATCAAAGCTGGCCGACCAGGTAGGGGCTGAAACAAGAGCAAGAACTGTATTTGGGGAATACCTTGGTGGTTGGTCTAACAGGAAGGTCTTTCTTACATTGGGCACGATGGTGCTGAGGCAGCCTGTAGCACCAGATACTTGGGAAACTGATCTGGGAGGCCTGCTGGAGCCCAGGAGTTCAGGGCCAGTCTCAAGACTCTCAAAAGGGAACATATTTTATTTTTTTAAAACTAGAACACCAATGACTAAAAGAAGAAAGGAAGCCATCGCGGTGTAGGGAAAGAATAATCTAGTACGGGAGGCACTGGAAGGAGGGACACAAGCATTTTGGGAACAAAATGACCCTCAAGCCATTTCATCTAGCAATTCTGTTCTTAGAAATATTTTCCAAAAGAAATATCATACAAAGCTACGTACAGAAAGTCAACCTGACAGGTATTTTTACCTGTTCACTTTATGCAATCAGATTACAGCAAAAGGACTTTCTTCAAGGCTAAGGCTCTGGACAGTCCTTCCCAGACACTCCATCAGTGCCAGGAACACCCCAGCAGAATGTGTGTGTGGGTGGGGTGGGAGTGCACACGGGGGCCTGTGTCTCAGCTCTGCAGGCATCCAGGTGCCCCTCCCTCTGCTCTGTCTTCTCTCCCATTTTAGACCAACAGCAGGAGAGGCATGCTCTAGTTCATACCAAGTCTGTCCATCCATCTGTCTCCTCCCTCTTCCCACTCCTACCCCTCCCTCCTTCCTTTCTTTTTGGCTTTCTAATATAGCCCAGGCTAGCCTCAAAACTGCTGTGTAGCTGAAGATGATGCTCAACTCCTGAATCTCCTACCCCTCCAAATGCTGTGATTACAGGTATGTGCCATCACACTCAGGAATTCTGGCATATTCTTTAGCTTTAAAAAGAAATCCTGTACCTGTTTACCACATGGGTGAACCTTGAGGACACTGTCCTCAGTGAATAAGCCAGTCACAAATGACAAGCCACAGTTACACTCACATGAGGATCTAGACTAGTCAGACTCCTAGCATCAGAAAGCATGATGTGGCACCAGGGTCAAAGCAGAGGATGGGGACTGCCCGATGGGACTGGGTCCAGCTCGGGCAGATGGAAAAGCTCTGTTCGGTGCTCTGCAGTCCCTGCAGCCTCAGAACCCAATTCTAGATTAGGCCACCATCCCTGTCCTGCTCCGAGCCATACCACCAGTTTGAGGGACTCTGCCTTCTTGCTGGCTGTCTTCCCCTTCAAACGCGCTTGCCCTCAGTGGTCCCGAGGCTGCATACCCTCAGGAGACTTGCAGGCTGAGGCTCTTTCAGCACTCAGCCTGACTTCCCGGGCAGGCACTGAGTCCTTGTGAGCAAAGACCATGAACTCCTAGCTAGCTGCCTGGTGTCTGGCACACAAATGATGTAGACTTGAAATGATGGCAGAGAAAGTGGCTTCTCCTGCCTCAGCACAGAGCTAGAGGCGGAGGCTGGGATTTACACAGCGGTGGTCATAGCGGCTTCCCCTCGGCTGTCCCCTCAGATGCTACATACTACTCTTTTGCCAATTTTCAAATGTAGGCAATTCAGCCACTGCCACCACAAGGCCAGGACAACTCACGCTCATTCAGGTCCACCTCCATCTTATCCTCCGTGTTAGCACTGCTAGATTCAAACAAGTCTTGTTTTGCTCCATCTTCTTCTTCAGAATCTGTACTTTCTTCACTGTCTGTGCTGCCGGAGCTATAAAAAAAAACAAAAAACTCGATATTTAAAGCTGTTTATAATCAGCCTCCAGCCAAGTCCAGAAAATTCTAAAATTCACTAGCAGTGTAAAATTACACGGCACTTCACTAGCCACACTTGCCTGAGCCCTCTCTGGCTGACACATGGAGGAAGGCACAGTGTGACAAGGCGGGTCCTCTTTTCACACCGTGTGGTTCCTGGAAGTCAGCCTTCCCTGTTACTAATTGTAAAATTTTCATTATAAGGCTGGAAAAATTCTTTCCACTTTTTAAAAATATATTTTATTATTTTTTGTGTGTATGCGTGTATTGCCTGCATGTAGGTAAGTGCACTTCGTGCAAAGCCCACAGAGGTCAGGTCAGAAGAGGCTGTCGGATCCCCTGGAACTGGAGTTACAGACAGTTGTTAGCTGCCATGTGGGTGCTGGGATTCGAACCTGGGTCTTCTGCAAGAACAGCCAGTGTTCTTAACTGCTGAGCCATCTCTCCAGCCCCATTCTTTCCACTTTTAATAGTGAGGTTTTTAAAAAATTAAGAATGGATGGATGTGTGCTTGCTCATATACATACACATTGCATTGACAAATTTTAGGATATTCAAGCAATTCTGTAGTCTTGGAAATAAACCCTTGGTCCCTTGGTAATGATACCTTATTGCATTTAAACTGCCTAGAAATGTTTTCTTTAATGTCAAGGTCTCATTCTATAACCCAGATTGGTCTCAGACTCTGATCCCCTCCTCATGAGTGCAAGACTACAGCAAGCACCACCATAGCTGGTCTGCTGCAGCTTTACAGGGGTCATACATTTAAGACAGCTAGTGTCCAGTTTTCTTTTCTATGATAGATGTGCCAGATTTTGGTACCCAGATATAATGATGTGGTCTTAGGGTTAGATGGATGGTTAACACCTCTCCTTTTCAACATTCTAGGAACTGGTATCATTTCTTCCTGAAATGTTCAGTGGAATTCATCAGTGTAGTCATGTGGACCTGGATTTTCATATTTGGTAGGAATCCACCCTTCTTCCAAGCAGCCCTGGAAATTTACACAGCCCAGAGTGGCCTTCTCGGCACTGTCTCCCAAGTGCTGGGATTACAGGCGTGTGCTACTAGGCCCACCTGGTGAGGAGGTCTAAATCAGAAATTAAAGCTAGTGAACACAGCTCCACTCACTATCCTTTACTGTGGTTCTTTGTGCTGTTCATTGTCGGTTATTAGCATAGAGTTGTTCATAATCTCTTATCATTTTTCAATCTTTTTGGTCCATCCAATTTATACTGATGTCAGCCCCACTCCTGGTATTAATAACTTCTGCTTTCCCTCCGTCTGACCCTTCCAGCTAGATTACTACAGTGATCTTCCCAAGGGGCAACTGTGCTCTCACTGAGTTCTCTTATTTTGTGTTTTGTACTTCTCTGAATTCTACTCTAATCTTTGTATCATTCATTTTGGTTTAATTTCCTCATTTTCTAAACATAGAGGCAGAGGCCACTAATTTGAAGAGTTTCACTTCTAACATAGCTAGTTAATGCTAAAATTAACACTGCCCCCCCCCACCAATTCAAAATTACCATGGGATTTTTTAATTCCGTCCCTCCACACCCCAGTTTTGTTAAGCAGCTGGGGCTGGTCTGGAACTCACAATCTTACCTTTAGCTGCCAAGTGCTGGGCGAGCAGGCAGGAGTCCAGATCCCAGGGAACTCTCTGTTACTGATTTCTAATTTAATTCCATTGTGAACCTTTTCAAATCTGAGACTTGTTCTATGGCCTGAACACGATCTATGTTGGTGTGTATGCTCTGAACATGGTCTATGTTGGTATGCACGCTCTGAACATGTCTGTGTTGGTGTGCATGCTCTGATCACATCTATGTTGGTGTGTATGCTCTGAACATGGTCTATGTTGGTATGCATGCTCTGAACATGTCTGTGTTGGTGTGTATGCTCTGAACATGTCTACGTTGGCGTGCATGCTCTGATCACATCTATGTTGGTGTGCACGCTCTGAGCACGTCTATGTTGGTGTACACACTCTGATCATGTCTATGTTGGTGTGCATGCTCTGAGCATGTCTATATTGGTGTCGTGTTCTGCTTTTCGTCAACCAGAATGTCTGCTTTAGGAACCTGCAAAGAGGCAGGTGATGGATGGAGTGGGTCAGGAGCACTACAGGCAGTTCCAAGATTCCTGCCCATTTCACTATCAATCTGATGGTAAATGTGGATTGTTTGCTTCTCATCAAAGTTCTATCAGTTTTTGTCTCCTGGAAATTGAAGCCTTGTTATTAGCTACAAAGGAGTTTAGAGGCAACACATGTTCTTACTGAATTAACCTCCTTTGTTTATTTTTTTTGGTGTGTGTGTGTTCTCATGTGTGCAAGTGTGTCAAGGTCAGAGACTGATACGAGATGCATCTCTATTTAAACTTAGAAGTCACTGACTGGCTTGTTAGTGACCTCCAAGGTTGTGGCTCCTGCCCTCACATACACCATTGCACCTGGATCTTACCTGAGTACTGGGACTCAAACTCAGGTTCTCCTGTTTGTTAGTAAGACTTTTCCTCACTGAGCCTTCTCCCCAGCCCCTAATTAACCTTCTTATTATGGAACTTTATCTTCTTCCTTTGAAATCTACTTTGAGCCTTTCATGGTGGCAGACACCTAGCACTTGGGAGGCCTAGAGGCAGGCAGATCTCTGTGACTTTAAGGCCAGCCTGGTATACATACAGCCTTGCAAGTATGATACATACGTATCGAGTTCCGGATCAGTCAGGGCTACATAGCAAGACCCTGTCTTAAAACATCAAAACCAGAGCTGGAGAGATGGCTTAGCAGTTAAGGCTGCAATTGCAGAAGACCTGGATTTGATTTCCAGCACCCACATGGCGGCTAACAACAGTCTCTAACTCCAGTTCCAGGGGATCCAATGCCTTCTTCTGACCTTTGCAGGCACTGCACGACATGGGTGCACTTACACACATGTAGGCAATACACTTCCCAGCACTCAGATGGCAGCTAACAACCCTCTGTAACTCCAGTTCCATGGAATATGACACCCTTCTTCTGGCCTCCGAGGGCAACGCACAACATCGGTGTACTTACGTACATACAGGCAAGACACTCATACATATAAAACAAAAATATATAAATCCAAAACATTTTTAGAGATTTCCTTCATTTCAAAATACATATAAATGTTATCTATGTACAGGTATGTACATGTGAGCACTGATACCTGCGGAAGCCAGGAGGGAATCAGTTCCCTGGAGCAAAAGTTAGGAGTGGTTGTGAGCACCCAATGTGGGTGCTGGCAACTGAACTTAAGTCTTCTGTAAGAGCAGTACATATTCTTAACTGCTGAGCTATCTTACCCACATACACATTTCAATGTTTCTTATAGGCATATGAAACGAGGCCTTGTTTCTCACCCAAATGACAAACTCTTGACTTTAATCTCCTTACGTCGTTACCTTGGAGACTGATCACTCTTCAGGTACTCTCCTGAGCCTGCCGGTAGGGACACTAGACTGTTAAGAGTGGCTCTGGGTTAGTTTTGTCACGGTACTAGTAGTTTTGTTGTTTTCTGAGACAGAGTAGACCAGGATAGCCTGAAACTCCGAGACCCACTTTCGTCTGCCTCCCAAGTGTGGGGATTAAAGGCGTGCACCACCACACCTGGCAAGATCAGCAGCATTTTAAGATTGTTCTGCTGGCCAAACTGCAGGCAGGACAATGGGCACTGGGAGCTCTGGGGCTGAACCTGTGTTGGTGGCGACACCTGCAGGGGTCTAACCACAATCAACTGCCTCAGGACGGCCTATAACCATCCCTGTCAGAAGCTATCCATCACTCACCTGGATCTCCTCTGGGATTCTGGTGTAAATGTGATGTGCTTTTCCTCCCAGATATCCTCTTCATCAGAGCCACCATCATCAAACTGCTGTATCCTCTCCTTACAGCAAGCTTCAAACAGGGCGATATTTCCCTACATAAAAACAAGAGTGAGAAAAGAGCAAAACAAAAACTGTTTTCTCCCCCAGAGTCACCAATGAAAACTGTTTGATCGTTTGCCTCTTAAAAACTTTTTTGATTTATTTTTGATGTGTATGAGTGTTTTGCCTGCATGCATGTAAGGGCACTCATAAGTACAATGCCTGTGGAGGCCAGAAGAGGACAATGGATCCCTGGAATTGGAGTTATGAAAATAGCTGTTAGCCATCTGGGTGCTGAGAACCAGAGCAGAGCCCTCTTCAAGAGCAGCCAGCGCTCCTACCTGCTGAGCCATCTCCTGAAGCCCCAGCAGGCCTGGAATTTGCTATAGACCAGGCTGACAGGCTCCATTGGCTTTTTAAAAAATCATGCCTATCACATATACAACAAAAACAGAAACATAAACCTCAAATGTTAGCTTGAGTAGATAACAAAAAATTCCTTAGACACTAGATTTAAACACGGGTTTAAAAACATGGAAGATGGTGAACCACATTCTTCGTGAACTCGCAACAGAGAAGAGGAACTACCGGTAGCTTCTGAGGCTAAATGTCTACGGTGCAACCACAAGGACCAGGGTCACATTAGTCCAGTCACATCTGAAGCCAGGACTGCAAACTCATGCCTGTAAGGCCCAGGCAGACATTGTTAGCATGCATATCACCAATCTAGGACAGGTGATCCCAGAGTTCAGAAGGGCACAAGGCACAAGGCAGCATGTAGGCTGCAGAAGAATCTAGCTCACTCCTCCACCCATCCCACACCTGCTGCTCACGACCGGAAAGGCCCATACTTACACTTTCATTTGTACTGAGAGTAAAGTTGATGTCTGATACCCGATCAAAAGAAACACTGTAAAGAAAACAGAGGAACTATTATCTACAGATCACTACAAACAGCATTCATGAAAATTTCCAAATTAAAGATATTTACATTATCATTAAAATCCTCATTACTAACACACACACAACCTTCCGGTATTAAATGATGCCCCTCTCTAGTATTAAGAAACATATACAAGACAGGAAGGGTGGTAAAGGAGCTTTTTGAGACAAGGCTTTGTGAGGCCCTGACAGCCTTTCCCTGACAGCAATGGATTTCTAACTTCTATGGTTCAACTATAGTTCCAGGGACCACGTCAACATAACCAAGAAGTCACTTCCGAAGAGCTGAGTCAAACGTGAAAAAGTAGGAAACACTGTGAGTGGGCCGGACACAGTACACAGCACCCTGCCATCCTGTTTCCAGCCACACAGGGTGAGGACCACAGCCTACTGACACAATTTCTGAGCAGGCGGGACAGTCTCATGATCTGTTAAAGCTCTGTTCTAATCAGCCACCATTCCAAACACCTTGCTTTAAAGAGAACATGGATTCTAACTAGTTATACTCCGGTTTCTAGTGGGAAAGGGGTCTGACCCTGGGTAGAACTTTCCTCTGGCAACAAACAGATGCCTCTGTGGCGTGTTCTTACTCATTCCAGATTGAGATGAGTGAGTCTGAGGGTAGCTGACAATCCCCAACTCCAGCTTTTTAGAGAGCAGCCACCACTGCATTGCACCAGCACAGCATGTTTCCAGCAACGTGCAAAAGGGTTTCAGCATCTCCCGAAGTCTACACTCAGAACTTTCCTGACACACGACAGCCTGCCCTTGCTGAAGTTCAACAGGAGACTGGGAGCTGACCGCTGCCAAGGACCCACAGCAGACACTGCATGGGGGCAAGGAATTTTAGACAAATTTCCCCTAAAGGGCGATTTTTTGAAATCTGATCCACCAGCTGAGATTTACATCCCAGCAGCCCCAACTTCTCCTTCACCTGTTCTCAAGAAGCCATCATCCCAAGGTAAATCCACACTCTGATGTCTGGGCCTCTTTTTCTGGGTGGGAAGTGAGATGCTGGTTCTCAGTTCTGCCAGCCACCTAGACAGTTTCTATTCAGTTCTCTGTAGTGCCCAGAATTCGCACTCTGTACCTTTTACCCTGACTGCAGACAACACAAACCTCCTTACAGGACTTCCCCAGCACAGAAAGCAAAGCAGGCGGGGCTGCCCCTGTTGCCCTTGCCCTGGTCATCTACTGGAATGCAGTATCACACGGCACACACACCTGCAGTCAGCCACACCTCTGACCAAGGGGTGAACGACACGGTAAGAATAACTAAGTGAATTACTTGTGGTAATGCTATTAACACACTAAGAGTAGAATCAGGTGACTTGGGTCCCTCTAAAAGGACGATCTCAATTGGCAGCAGCACACACCCTTGCTACCAGCTGCTTATAAAGCTGAGACAGAAGGATGTTTACGCTCACAAATTCAATACCAGACAAGAACAAATCACCATCTGATAAGCAGAAGCCTCGGTGAGGTTCTGAAGCCAAAGCTCAGCGCTGGCCCTGGAGTGGGGTCTCAGTTACTAGGCTCAGCACTGGGTACTGAACTAAGGGACAGCTGTACCTCCCAACTCAGGAATGCTGCAGAGCCCCCAGAATCCAGCAGACTCAAGAGTATTTGTCAAAGAGCAGGAGTGTAAGAGACAGTTGTGGAGACAGGAAAACATACTCACTTGCCAATGTCATCTTGGTCTGCGAACTTCTCATCGTTGAAGCCAAACTGGTCAATAAAATTGGACGTCATTTGTTGCATCTGATAATCAGAAAAGGCCTGGCAACCCCAGGACCAGTGACAGTGATACCATGATTCTAGTGACATTCTACATGCTATCTGCCCACCTGTGCTGCAGAAACCTCTGTAACTCACACAGCCATATGACTTTACAAAGTTGGTGTGTTTTTCTTTAAAAAAAAAAAAACAAACAAAAATAGCAAATAATTTCAGACACATTTTGCCCCCAAAGGGGAAGTTTTTGAAATCTGGTCTGCAAATTGTTTTACCACACATCATCTGTAAGGAATATTTAAGTGACCATACTGTCCTCTACATAAGTAGTCTATAGGGAGAGGACTAGGTTAGGGTTAGTTTGAGGAGGTGACAGAGAGACAGAAGTCTGAAATTATCAGGTGTACCATCACCTCTAGACACAACCAACTTCATCCTAACATGCAATACGAGCTGACCACCCCCAATCTCCACCCCAGCCACTCCCCACCCACCATCCACCACAGCAAAAACAGCACCAGAGGAAGAAACACTGATGGACACAATCATAATCCTAGGAATACAACGATGACCTAAGTCTTGGAGGCTGGGAGAGGCTGAGGCATAAGGAACTCTACACAACCTACCTGAGGGTGACCGTAGCAAGTTTTAACTTTGTCTGAGAACACTTCAGAAAAGCCTGCCACACCACAAAGTCTATGGAGGAGCCAGTTCTGTTTCCATCTACCACATCTTATGAGTGCCAGGCTCAGGCGGGTCTTCCCAGTTGGAAAATGAGGGAATGTTATACTGTACTGCACCTATGTGCTGACAGTCTAGTTAGGCCAAAAGCAAACACATCCTCACACACTGCTTGGGAGTAAGGGACACGAGAAGACAATCAAGTACCATCTCCTTACTCTCACCCAGATAATCAACGTGGGACGACCCTGTGTGCATTCAGGTGGACAGGGACAGAGCCAGCAGTGGGACCGGGGGGGGGGGTAGGAGCAGCAACCCTTGCCAATGGAGGCTTTACTCCCAGGCCACTGGCTGCAGCTGGTGCAGAGGAATCAATAGATTTCTCCTTGGGCCCCACCTCGGCAGAGTCCACAGACCCCATCCTGCGATGCTCCAGACAAGGGTCTCCTCGTTCATTTCTGATGACACTAACTCTCATGGCAGGGAATTATGGCATGGATAATCCAAATTGTAGGTAATTTAAAAAATAAACCTTATATTTGGCTTTGGAAGGTATCTTTTGCTTAGGTCTGAAAATAAACAAAATTAAAAACAACCAACCACCACTGCCATCACCCCTTATTTAGAGCAGCCAAGCCTCACTTTCCTCTCACAGAAGACAACATCCCCCCTTCCTGCCCCCACCCCCCAAACCTTCTCATTGCCTGCGTTCTGGCTCACAGAGATGATGCTATATGAGCTGATGGGCTAGGGGGCAGCTGGCTGCAGGACAGCCATCCACAGTGTGCCCAAAGAGGTGGCCTGGCAGGACGGCACTGGGTAAAGTCTGGAATGCAACCAAAGCAGGAGTCATGGGAAGCTGGTCAAGGCAGAAGAGAAAGGACACACCTAGGAGATGAGAGCTCTGGGCATATGAATGGGCAGGGCAGGCAGCCTTCGTGTTCAAGCAGGAGACCACTCCTCTGAGCTCTGACCTCATCTACTACAAGGGCAACAAATGCCTGCTGCTTCCAAGATGTGCTCAAAAACCATGCAGCCATTCTACGAGGAGGCAGCATAGACCAAGCTCCAAATCTAACCAGAACAGTTTTCTAGAGAAAGGGAAGAAATATTTCCAAAGCTCCACACTTCACAAACAGAATGCAAACGGTAGATGTACTACAAATGTACATATACATACATGTACATTTACAAATATACACCCACATGTACACACACGAGTATCTATCTATCTTACCTATTCAACTAGACAGAGATACAGCAACTGACATACTAGGAACATGGTGCCATCAAACAAAGGAAAAAGAACCATGATCGCTAGCGTGCTCGTAGCTCCAGTTTGGCACAGCTTCTGGGACGACACAAACTAGCAAAGAATCTCCCCTTTGAACCTGATTTCTACCACTAACTGTGCTATCAGAGCCTACATTCCAGTATGAGTGGAGAGTCACTATATACGTGCAAGGGAATAGTAAAAGTGTTCTGAGGTGCCGAAGTGGACAGCAACGCATGGCTATAACAATATTAAGCACTCTGCAGTACTGCTGTGGTCATAGAAATAGCTGTGAACTCCATCTGTCCCAGCCAGTGTGTGACATGTGGTGGAGAGTCGATGCCCATCTCTGGGGGTCAGCCTGAATTCTCAGAGATCACAGGGAGAGAGCTCACCTCACCCCTCCACAGCGCTGGGAAGCACAGTTTGGAGGACACTGAGGAAGCAGAGCTCACTGGGGCAGAACAAAGCAGGCACGGCACAAACGTCACGAGGTGCGGGCTCACTGGACACGGCCCCATCTGTGACAGGGTTACCTTGTTAAATGACTGCCCTGGGTTCTCTGCACTTGGGCTTTCTCTGTGAGTGGGAAGCCTGACTTCAAATGGGAATCAGAGGATTAAGATGTGGAAATCTACTAGTTGATATTCTACTCAGAGTGGAGACTATGAGGAAGCTGTTAGACTAATCTAGACTCTCGGTCTCCAAAAACACAACATTTGGATCAGATACATGTCACAATGGCCCACAACTGCTTTATAGGTTAGGTCTGCAGAGTGCGTCCTACATCTAGAGGTTATAGGCAGTGGATAGAATTCCTGAGACTGGGAACCTGGCCAGGGCTGTGTTAGGAAGCCAGCTTTGTGATGGGGATATACATTAGCCCTTGGTCAAACCAGGAAAAGAATGTAAGAACATTTCTCCCAGAACACACAGCTTAGAAGCAGGTATCACAGCAAGCAAGGGGACCCATTCCTTTGATGGCCTAAAGTAGCTTCTAGATAAAATCAGCAGCTTGAAGTTCAGGCATCTGCAAAGTCCTGGGTTTGATTCAGAACAGCAGTGCACAAGTTTACAAACATATTTAGAAAAATGTTTAGGGCACCCTTTTTCTTTCTTTTTTACATTTATCTATTTTGGTGTGTGCATGTATGTGCACACATGTGCAAGCATACGGAAGTCGAAGTCCTCTGACTATGAGTACTGACTTTAGTTCTCTCCTTCCACCATATGGATTCTGGGGCTAGGACTTGCACCAGCGAGCACCTTTACCTGGCAGCAAGCAACTTAACCTGCTGTGCCATCTCACCGGTCCAGGTCATTCTTTCTCTTAATGCTAGAGTTTAACAGCCACAAAAATCACATCTGACCCATCCAGCTTCATTTTAGGGTCATAGCAATGCAGCCTTTGGGTTCAGGCCTAGTCACGTTGATTGTTTCAATACTCTACAGTGCTTCGGTGGAGAGGCCACCATTTAAGTGGGACAGTGTGAGAAACTGGAGACAACAAAGGGCTGCTTGTAGGCACAAGGGTTTACGGTGAGTCACGGTGGGCTGCCTGGGTAGCCAGTGCTTCCTAAAACCAAGATGTGTTTCCTTCAAGAAGACGCTGCTCCTCCACAGTGCTCCCTATGGTCAGCTACTTGCTAACTCTGACTTTAGGAGAACAGCTGCCAATGGGTGCCAATGTCAGAAAACAGAGGAAGATCAGCAAGCACGAAAATTTCACCTTAAATCCATCTGGGACCTGAACTACTCTTGTATCAAAATAAAGCAGTTGATCACTGTGATGCTGATGTGAAAGGTATGCAACTTGGAAACAAAAGACAGGGCCAGCAAGAGCGTCAGAAGCTTCAAGGTGGCCCCAGAAAAGGTGCGGGTGCGACTGAGGACACAGGCACCACCCAGTAAGGTGTGACAGCGTCTCCTTAACCAAAGTCATGCAAAAGCACTTTATATGCCTGGGCCAGAATGGCTGAGGACAACATCCCTACAAACAGCTCATCTGCTAATGGCCTTCTAACTGGGGTTCCAAAACTTGATACCCAATAGAAACGTAAAACCAATCGTCACTTTCCCAAGAATCACCAATCAATGATAAATCAGACTAATGTTTATCTCCCGTTTTTAGCCAAAATGGTTAAAAGCACCTAACATATGGAGACAAACTGAGGGCTGGAGGGCAGGCATGGCAATGAAGTGCTTCACTAAACCTCAACTCAGGTGTCACCACAATGGAACAGCTCTTAGGATCAGCAACAGCAGAAGGTAATCTTAACAAGCCACTGGGTTGACAAGCACTGCCGAGCTCACTTTTGGAGTTTTGACTCTTAATTCTATCTTTTTTTTTTTGGTCTTTTTGAGACAGGGTCTCCCTTAGCCCCAGCTGTCCTGGAACTCACTATGTAGACCAGGCTGGCCTTGTACTCACAGAGATCCGCCTGCCTCTACCTCCCACAGTCTCTACCTACCACATGATAGGTCTGCACAGTAGCATGTGACGTGACCTGCTGATATTCAGTTCACGTGGCATTCCTCGACATCACTGTTCCCAGGAACACATCAGTACAAACCTACCTGGCATGCCCGGTTCTCCCTGTTGCAATGGTTTAGCTTAAAGGGTAGCGATCTCAAACCACATTCTAACACAGTCTGACAGACGCTGACTCACAATGGCAGCTAAACTAAGCATTTATGAGAAAAACAAAGAGCAAAGCTTTAGGCGTGACTCACTTGCTGCAAAGAGGAATCCTGTGAGAAACCCGTTTCTTTAAAGTCAATTTCATCATCACTGGATGAATGAATATGGCAGGTTGTAACCTATATGCATAGAAATGTAAAAGACTATTTAACAGAGAAAAGTGTTGGACATTTGTATCAGCATTATTATGGAAAAAATATCACATTCAGTTTCAAAGTGCAACAACAACAACCAAAAACCCAACCCCAGAAATAACAGACAAGTTGTCTCAGGTCCAGTCCTTGCTCCTGTCTGGCTGCCCACCCAGCTGCAGATGGTCACCACTGTTCACTAGCACCCTAGGTGTCTGATGGAAAGGGTGCGTTACTTCACCGAGATGATCATCTTGGTAATCAACACCAGTTAAACAGTTTACAGGGAAGGCAGAAGAAACCGTGCGGGTGGAACCAAAATCACTGGCATGGCCAGGCCTGGAGGGCAGAGAAAGCCTTGGCGGTCATCAAGGAACTACCAGAAAGGCAGCGTTTGAGTGCAGTCATTTCACATCAAGATCTTGACTTTCCTGCCCATACGAAGAAGAGAACTGGCCATGAATGCTCCATGTGATGAGGCAACACTGTACTCCTGACACTGTGCCTTCCTTGCATGTCCAACCAACTCTTGACAATTAAGAAAAGCACCAGCAAGAGCTGCTCACTCATGGCTAAGCCAGGTGCCCTGAGTAGGGAGGTGCTAACAGTGGTTCCTGCTGTCTAGCATGGGATGCCTAACAGTCGGAAACTCCGGCAGCCAGCATTCCATTTGCGGGCCATGCACACTGTATTCTCCGGAGTCCTTTACACTATACTAGTCTCACTGTGTAGCCTGGAATGGCATCGAGGTCGAGATCCTTCTTCCTCAGCTTCCCAAGTGCTGGCATTACAGGCATGCACCACCTCAGAACTGTTTTGGGTAGAGAGCACTGTGCTGACGGAAAGACGTGGGCGAACTTGGGCGAGGCCATACCTCACGGCCTCAAGTTAACAGTCTGGCCTAGTCTTCTTTAGAGATTGTTCCCATTGGTTCTAGAAGCCCAGAGTACAATCCTAATTGGTGTCGACAAGGCAAGGCTTGTGAAATTCCCCCACAGATGTTATTTCTCTTTCCTTTTACATGGCCATCTCTGGTAAGACATAAGGTCTAAATGACTGTAAGCACGGCTGCACTTCCTTTCTCTCTGCTCTGTAAGGCATAAAGCACTGCATTTTACTTGGTAGTTTGCCGTCAGTGAAAGGCGCCTGCCTTAGTGAGGTAATGGGGACACACAGGGGATGGGGGACAATGCAGGATGCCCAGCCGTGGTATAGAAATCTGCTTTGTTATGGCAACTGTCGCCCCCATAGGACAATCACACTCAGTGGCTTTAAGGAAGCCTGAGGCCACTGAGCTAGCAAGCTAAAATACGTCATGTTACTGTGTGTTTCAGGGTACAACCTCATAGGCCACAGAACCAGGACAATTTAAAGAGCAGGTCAGTGACCGGAGAAGAGAGAGAAGAGAGGCTGCCCTCGGGAGTCTTGTCTAAGCACAACAAGGACACAAAGAAACTACATGCTGTATTTATTTCCTATAAACAAGAGTTTATCATGTCAGTAAAAAAGGAAGAAGCTGGGGCTAGAGGGGTGGCTCAGCAGTTAAGAACACTGTTCTTGCAGAAGACCCGGGTTCGAATCCCAGCACCCACATGGTAGCTAACAATTGTCTGTAACTCCAGTCCCAGGGGATCCAACAGACTCTTCTGACCTCCGTGGGCACTGCACGACACGGGTACACTTACCTACATGCAGGCAATACACGTATACATATAAAATAAAGATAATAAATAAAATATTAAAAAAAAAGGAAGCAGCTTTGCTGAAGCAGCCAAGGGCTAGACATGTGACCCCTCCACATGTGGTTGTAAACTGCTGCTACAGAGCACCGCCCTCTCGGAAAGCGTCTATAGTGCTTTTCTTTCTTTGTTGAGACAGGGTCTCACTATACAGCCCAGACAGGCCTTGAACCTGTGGTCTTCCTGCTGAGTGCTGACATTACAGGGTTTTCTATAAGTTCCAGCCAGTCAGGATCACTAACAGCACAACACTGGCACACCTTCAAGCCTACTAATGAAGAGTGACTCTAGGAATGCCTGTACCATTATGGTGTGCTAAAAAGACTTACTTCATTTACCCATGGGGGGAACTTGCTGATCAGAATCCCAACCAATTCATTACCCAGAGGTATACCGAACTAAGTTCTTGATCTACAACTCAGAAATACAGCGCCTTTGAGGCACCACAGAGATCAGGAAAAGCCACCTTCACTCCTCAGCTAAAACCTTAGCCATGTTTTTTCTGGACTGTTCCCTAAGCCAGCCTCACCATGTAGCCCACACCACTCATCACCAAAGCTGCCAACAGCTTGCTAGTGCAGTGGCTGTAGTCTTCCTCCAGACTGACGTCAGTGAGGCAGCAGTCTCACTCAGTCTGTGTTGAACCCAGTGATCTTCCAAAAATGTACATCAAATGATGTCACTTTTTAACTTCTAAGACTAGTGGTTTCTCAGTGGTGCCCACTGCTTCTGTCCTCACTTTCTCCCTAACTCACTCTGACAACAGGCAGACCGGACTCTTGCTCTGTGCCAGTCCTACATCCTGGCAGTCCCTCCCTTGGGGTTTTCTGTACTTGTTCCCTCCCTCTACAATGCTACATTCTCGATGAGGTTTTTTAGGACCACCCAGTTTTAAAATTTTACTACTACTACTACTACTACTACTACTATTATTGGTGTGTGTGTGTGTGTGTGTGTGTGTGTGTGTGTGTAGATATGCGTGCCATGGCACACATGGAGGTGAGAGGACAAACGTGTGAAATGGATGCCTCCTTTCCACTCTCCATGTAGGTTTGAAGGATCAAATTATTTAGGTTGCCAGGCTTGCATGGCAAACACCTTTACCCGCTGAGCCACCTTGACCGTCCCTTGACCTAACTCTGAACTGCTCATCTATCCAACACTTCCTACCCACTCCCTGGCACTCCCTCCTGGGCACTATCACCAATACATGCATGTCTGGCTCTTCTGCTTCTCCACCTCCACCAAAACAAGGGTTCTTCCTGGTTAGCGCTATTGCCCTCTACCTGGCACACAGCGGGCACATGAATGGTTCTTCCTGGTTAGCGCTATTACCCTCTACCTGGCACACAGCGGGCACATGAATGGTTCTTCCTGGTTAGCGCTATTACCCTCTACCTGGCACACAGCGGGCACATGAATGTCTGCTGAATTAATGAATACTAACACACACAGCAAAGCCTCAACAGTGCTCTTGCCAAATTGGATGCGTTTTAAGTGAAACACACTCTCGGTGCCAGTGTGAGAAAGCAGCTTCTGAGGTATGACATCTTCCACAGTGACCTTCCAGCATCTGAGCCTGCCAGAGCAACAAGCATGTGAGCACCTGCTTTACCAAGGCTGCCTAAGCAGGGTGTGGCTAAGGCGCGCAGAGGCCTACCAGTGAGACGGCAGGTGCAGCTCTTCACTGCAGACGCCAGCACCTGCCCACTCCAGGGCAGTGACAGCAGCCTATTCTCAGCCTGGCTGCCTAAACCGTTTTTCATACGAAAATGCGCTGCTACTGCTCCACGCCGCCTCCTGGCCCTGTGTCAGTGACGGGAAGAAACCCTGGGGCTTCAAAACAATTTTCCCACCAGAGAATAGCAAGAAATAAAAGAAACTCAATTTTCCAAAGTTAGCACAAAACATTCCCTATTATCTACATTTACCTATGTTCTTGTCAATTTTTAGTTTGGAGGCTTAGTCAAAATTCAGGTCTTTGGATGTAACTAAAACACCAAATTTAAGAGCTGGGTGTGATGGTGTGCACCTAAAATCCCAGCATTCAAGAGGCTAAGGCAGAAGGATCTGAGTGTGACGCCAGCCTGGAGCAGAGAGGGCAATGCTGTAAAAACAAACCCAACAAAACAACTCAGCTCCAAACTACCAATGTGAACATCACAACTCCCTTACATAGGAGGCAGTGTAGAAAGGCACTGGCACGGATTTAGGCATGGTACAGTGTCGCCTCTGTGTCAGAGTTTAATTGGATGTTGCAGTGGAAGCTACAGAAGCTAGGGCTGGCCCAGCTTACCCACACAGCCGAGGAGATGCTTGGGCCAGTGGGACAGCTATGAATGAATGAACAGAAAAATACAAATGGCCAGGACACCATGTCAACATACGGACTCAAGCTCTGAACACACCTGAAAAACAAACTTCAGAGAGGCATCAGAACCAGGTGGCATCAGAGCCACCTCAAAGCCACCTCAAAGACCATTGAACTATAGTCACAGGCACTCTCTCTGTCATCTTTTCAAGGGTAAGGCCACAGTATTCACAAATTACATTCATCATACGTACTATCTACAGTAGTCTACTGCCCCTAGAACGTGGGCCTGACCCTAAAATAGACTACAAATGCTCTGGGGAAGTAAATGAAGAGCCTGGAGGGTACAGCTAAAACCTCCTTGTTAGCCTAGACTTGTACCCCTTAAACCCCCTTACTGGAAGGAGTTAGGACCAAATGGAGATATTAAAAAAGGTTCTAAGGGGCTGGAGAGCCAGCTCAGTGGTTAAGAGCACCTGCTACTCTTCCCGGACTCCAGGTTCAGTTCCCAGCAGCCATGTGCAGCTCACAACTGCCTCCATGGGCACCTGTATACATGGCTTTCCTCCCCCCCCCCCCCCCCCACATACACAGTCTTTTCAAGCCAGGCATGGTGGTGCACACCTTTAATCTCAGTTCTCAGGAAGTGGATCTCTGTGAGTTCCAGGCCATCTGTGGCTACAGGGAGGCCCAGTCTTGGGAAAAAAAGTTCAAAAATCAGACAGAATTAACATCCTTAAGTACTCCTTTATACCTAAGAAATAGAGAACACCATGCTGGCTGCATTCTTAAGGTGGGATGAGTGTGGAAGCCTGGCCTTCAATGAGTAAACGTCATAGCACCAAGAGGACAAAACAACCACTATGCACAGGTCTAGACAAGGTGGCATCCGAATTATCTATCCCACCTTAATTGTTTTAACCAATCTACCTAGTCAGCTGTGTAAACTATTCACCAAAGACTGCCTTTCCTGATGTGCCAGTGCTGTTGACAGGAGTGTCAGTTTCTCTGCTGGGCTACAGCACACACAGTAGGGACCTTAGACAGAACTCCCTGTAAGAGGCTTCTTTCCTGATTATTTTACCTCTTCATACTTCCTAATCCTGCACCAAGTCCACATTCAAAGGCCATTACTCCAGCACTGATGAGTAACCATGAGAGTCTACAGCATGAGAGGCAAAGGCCCAAGGTGTGTGGCAAGGATGATCTGTGGCTTCCAGCTGAGCAAAGGTGCTTCCCTCTTGTTTTTAGGTTCTGAACAGATATGGCTGCTGGGCAACTAACTTGGTAACAACTGAGGCGTTACTACAGAACAAGTACAGTGGCTAGTGCTGGACAGCACTGAGTCAGGTGGCTACCCCGACCTCCAGCTGGCACTTGTTGACAGAGATGCTCTCTCATCTTCAAAAGCACAAAGCAATACTCACCTTAAAACTTAAAGCACTGAAAAAACAAAAACACATTCCAAAGTCCAATATAATTTTTTAAATGATCAATGCCATTATTCCCTGGCTGGAAGTATTAATTTGGTTAATTAAACATTCTAAGGCTGGAGTTCCAAAGTCATCTACAATCCTCCTACCCCAGAAACAATCTAAAATGAGAACAAATTCAACTCCATTAATTCTAGAAAACATCCACAGGCACGTTTGGGATTTCTAAGCACCCAGGGACACGTGAGGCACTTAGGCCCAGGGGGAGACACTGGACATGGGCAGCCTTTTAGTGCCGTTTTGCCATGCTACGCAGGTAACTGAGGTGCCCGGATAAGTCAGCAGAATACTGACCTTCCTGCAGAGAGCTCCTCTTTGGCCCACACTCACTGGCCCTAATAGAAGGCATTTTACAGTTTTCTCAGAAAACAGGCAAAGGCTAGAGCACAGAAACAAACAGAAGTGCACCCTGCAGAACCTACTAGATCCACCGTGTTCCTCTTGTTCGTCTCTCCTAAGGAGTTGGCGCAGAATGTCTCCCATCGCTCCCTGACTTCGTCTGGAAGATCTTCAGAGTGAGAAAAGGAGAAAAGCAGTATCACCACAGTGAGCACACAGACAGCAGGCAGTCTTGCAGGGCACCCGTCAACTGAAGACCTGGTTACGGCCAGCCCAGTGCTCCAAGAAGGGTGAGCCCAAGAAGCACCAACAGGCCCAGTCCACAGATTTGAGCTCTGCCCAGTCAGTCCCACCCCACCTACCAATACCATGAGCCAAGAGCTATGACTTGGAAAGTTACTACCAATGTTTTATTGACATGAAACACAGAACTCCATCTGTAAAACTACTTCTGAGAGAAGAGCAGGTCTTTGGGTTGGGGGAGGGGGAAGTTCCTGTACTTTCTTGAGATCCTAAGGCAGGCACATGACCAACGAATGGTCCATGGAACCCTGCTGGCTTCTCAGATTGCAATCACTGCCTCCTACGCCTGCCTGATGACCAAACCATGTAGAAATGTTCACTACTGGAAGTCTACTTTCTAGAGACGATTTTTCTGAGAAAACGAAACCGTGGCTGTAAATCATCAGGGCTTACCTACATGGAGGCAGTCACTCAACAATCCTGGTTTAAGCAACTGTGCACAGGTGCACGCTCACACAGGAAGCTTCCAGGAAAGAAAAACTGACCTAAAAAATGTTTTCTCCTCTTAAGTACATACACACTGATGAGGAAGCAAACTTAGATGTGGGCACGCCTCCATTTTTCTGTAAGTAGGTGATACTAGGTTTTTAGTGCACACTCAACAGAAAGTAAAGCACCTCTTGAACAAAGATTCCTCGTTTCTCAGGTACACAGCCAAAGTCACATGACCAGCGATTTGGCCAGGACAGAAGCTTGGAGGCCACAGAGCATCTGGTGCTCCGGTTCTGGAGGGTGGTACCTGGGTAAAAGGCGTTCACACAGTGTCCTCCAGGCCACCTTGGGTGGAGTAAACAAGTGCTAGCAGAAAAGAATCCTTGAGGGGCCACGATCTCTCGTCTTAGTGACAGAGACACTGAAGAAATGCTGGCAAGGTTCTGGTGTCTTAGGTAAGGTACTTAATGTAAACACAAGAGACAGAGAGAGGCCTTCGGAAGAGAAACAGCACCATGACTTGAGGGGCCCCATGGCAGCACACAAGCACTGCAGGCTCAACGGGCAAAGGAAACGGGACAAGAGTGCTCTGGAACAATGACACCTGACTCCAACTGCTCTGGCCACCAAAAAGGACAGCAGAAATCTGAACACAGGTATAGCTGAGAACTACAACCAGCTCCCTAGACAACCTGTAAACTCCAAAGAAACTCCAGAAGAGCCCTTGACTAGCTGTTGACCTTCCCTCTGTCATCTCATCTCTTCTCTGACCCCACACAGACGTAATCAGCATTGTAAAAACACCTTACCTTTGATAAGCTGCTGCACTAGTGCACTGTTGGGGCCCTTGTCAGTGCTGTGCACAATACAGTTCGCTATCCTGGTGAGGTGTCCCATGTAACCATGCCGTCGTCCTCCCTCAGCCCTGGCAGGGGAAAGGACAAACATTGAGACAGGAGAATGGACACCTGGAGAAGAGTTTCAAATGGAGCATGCTAGAGCATCACCAGAAAGCAAAGCACTCAACAGGGCAGTCACTCCAGACATCACCAACAATCACATTCATCAAGGCCTTGTCCACTCTTAACTTTTCTTTACATCTTTTTGTACAATTTCTTGAATTTCAGACTCCAATCAAACTGTAAAACCCTGAGGTCAGAATTTTATTGTTTTCCAAAAGACTTATGTTTGAGTTGTGCCAACTGACTGGAGGCAAGCATCCACTAATGGCTTCCAAGTAGAGTCCCAGGCTTAGCCGAAAACTTAGCAAGATAAAGAAAGGCAGTGAACTTGCACTTGCTGAAGACACTCCAAACACAGGCAAGCGAATTTAGTCTTCAAAGACACCTTTAAGGTTAAGGTTAAGACATCTTTTAGGTTAAGGTTAAAACATCTTTTTATGTTCATGACTTGCAAAACAAGACTTTTTGTTGTAAACAGCAGGGTAGAAATTGAAGAGATTTTTGCCTAAAGAGTGAAAACCCTGCCCAGCATGGTGGCACACACCTTTAATCCCAGCACTCTGGAGGCAGAGGTAGGTGGATCTCTCTGAGTTCAAGGCCAGCCTGGTCTACATAGTGAGTTCTAGGACAGCTGGGGCTATAGGGAGACCCTATCAGGAGTCAAGAAAAACAGTAACAAAAAACCACATACCATATTTGGAGTCTTGCCTGGAAAATAAAATACCTGCTAGGTGATTTTAAGAGGCTGTGGGGGCAGCTAACACAACGGCCCAGTGAAGAACTCAACCAAACTGCAAGAGCCACTTTAGCTGCACAGTAAGACTCAGACTCAAGTGCTCCCAGAGACAAATTCTTAGCCTCCTGGGCTCCCTTAAGGCCACAGGTGGGAACAGGATGGCCTGCAAGGCTTCTGGCCCTGAGTGTTAAGCTGCCCAAGTTTTGGCTTCTGGCATACTGAAACATTGAAGAAAGCTCCTTTAGTACCCCTAGCTAGTGGGAATATTACACGTGTCTGGCCTTCAGAGGATGTGCCAATAGGAAGAGGGGAATGCTCAGGACACTCAGGTGCTGGGCAGATGTGAAGACAGGAAAAGATAGAGAATGGGAGGTCACAGAGGGCACAGAGGGGCTAAGATGGGTCAGACACTAACATGTCCAGCAGGCCATCCACGGCTCCTGTGGAGAAGCTCCACTGGGAATAATATGCCTACAGATACATGGAAAATGCGCAATCAGCAGACTGATTGAGAATATAAATCAAGACCGCAAGTTCCCAATGGACAGATTTTTCTAAAAGGCTCTTTTTTTTTGAGACAGGGTCTCCCTGTAGCCATGGCTGGCCTGCATTCCCTATGGAGACCACAGCAATCCGCCTGCCTCTGCCTCCATGCTGGCATTAAAGGAATGCGTCACCATGCCCAGCAAAAGGCAGTATGTTAAATAAAGGTGGAATATTCAGCCATGTTTGTGGCAACATGGGCGGAACTGAAGGACATCATACTACGGAGAGGTAGGAAGACACAGGAACAAAAATACTACATATTCTTGGAAGCTTCATGAACTAACAGTGGTCCAAGAGGCTAGGAAGGTGGGGGAGGAGGATGGAAAGGGTAGACAGTGAGTTCCAGTCTCTTATAAAGAAATCCTAGCATCTGACCACACGGCAGGGTGACCAGAGTTTATAAGATTATTATGTATCTCAAAATAACTGGAAGAGAGGAGTCTGAAGGTTCCAATGAAAAATGCTAATCAAGATTTGATCTTGGGACTGGAGAGATGGCTCAGCGGTTAAGAACACTGGCTGTTCTTACAGAAGACCCGGGTTCAAATCCCAGCACCCACATGGCAGCTAACAACTGTCTGTAACTCCAGTTCCAGGGGATCCGACAGCCTCTTCTGTCCTCCGCGGGCATTGCACGACATGGGTGCACTTACCTAAATGCAGGCAATACACGCATACACATAAAAATAAAAATAATTTGAGAAAAAAAAAAGATTTGATCTTTTCACATGGTATACATAATATAAAAATCACCCAGTAATTCCGTTCATATGTTCAACTACGTGCCTATTAAATCACAGCAAGAGCCCATGACCACAAAGAAGCACACCTTGAAAGTACTTTCCAAACCTGCCCTGTGCCGCCTGCTCAGAAGCTGGAGTGGCATAAACCCTCGAAGGGTACTGAACAGGAGTGCCTCAAGAGATGTCACCACGGTCATGAACATCTTATACACAGTTGTACACAGGGATCAACCAAGGCTCCAGAGCCCTGTCACCAGGTGACTCTCTATGAGAACAGGAAGCACTCCTTCCCGTTCAGCTCATACACACAGTGACGTTTCTCTGAGGAGGTAATCCCAACACATACTAACGAAGACTCAACTTTGCACTCTTTTTTCATTCAACTCAACATAATTCTCAGAAAGTATTTCGACAGGCCAGGGAGCTCTAAAGGTAATGGGGCTCCAAGCGAAAAATGAGGGACCAGAACATGTGCTGCAATGTACCTTTATCTTTGCATTTCTCTACATGACAGAGGGGAGACGGCAGGGTTTCCCTTAAATTGTAAGTCAAACTGATACTTTTTTCACAAACAAGTTACTCACTGTTTCTTCTCATTCATGTCCCAGGCTTCAAGTATCCGCTCTATTAACTGACATTTCTGAAAAAGCTAAATGAGAAGGTATATTCCAATTAGCATTTACAAAATGATTTAAAAATGAAAATTTTATTTGATTTCCAAAAACCTTTGTTGATTTTATTTTTATTTATTATTTTATGTGTATAAGTGTATTGCCTGCATGTATGTTAAGTGCATCCATGTCCTACAATGCCCTCAGAGAACAGAAGAAGGCATCAGATCCCCTGGAACTGGAGTTAGGGACTGTTGTTAGAGAACCCAGGTCCTCTGCAAGAGCAGCCAAGTGCTCTGAATCACTGAGCATCTCTCCAGCTCCCGAAGCATTACAATCTTAAACCGAAATAAAATACTGCATGTAGCTGGGAATTGCTGGCCATCCAGAGGCAGTGCCGAGGTGCCCGTTTAGTCCTGATCCCTGAACCACACAGGGCCCAGCTGGGGCCAGGCCTGAGAAGTGTGGCAGGTGTCGTTCTAAGTGAGCAGCTGACCTGAGACAAAGCTGGGATCCGTAAACAGGACACCCAGAGACTCAGGGCCTAATCAAAATTAAAGCTTGCTTTGGCAAAACCTAACTTAAAATCCAATGCAATACTTCTGTTCTGTTATTTTTTTTTTATTGTTTGTTTTATTTATTGGGAGAGGGAAGGATCTTTAGAGACATGTCTCATGTAACCCCGATTGGCCTTGATTCTCCTGCTTCTGTCTCCCAAGAGCTGGGTTTACAAGCACAGACAACACACCTGGCTCACTTCACTTCAGAATACCGGCAGCACTTCCTCCTCATCCCAACATTACTGTTAATACTGAAATCTGTGCGTCCAACCAAAGCCCCAGCCATCAGACAGGAACTGCTGTGGCTGTGGTAGAATGAGTGGGCACCATGTGCCTTTCATGTGGCCACAGCAGACCAGCCTTTCTCACCTCCCTGGTAAGGAAGCAAACCAAGAGAGGACTAGAGAATTAAGTAAAAACACAGACTTACAGACTCAGAAAAACCACTTCATATTTCACCCAAGAGACCCCAAGCCAGGTGTCTATTAATCCAAGTACTTGGGAAGATGAGGCAGATGGATCCTGAATTCAAGACCAGTCTGGGCTACATAGCAAGAAAGCCCCTTCCTCTGTATCCCAAACAGTGAGAGACCCTAAAAAGATCAATATTGATTGAAACTCAGTCCTCCAAGCACCCAGTCACTATTTAGCACCAGAGGTCAGCCTCTGGTGCCACAGTGCTGTGAAATGCGATCTCCAGATCTGTATGTCCTTTCACTGTGGTTCCTTCAGTTTTCAAAAGCTGTTTTTAAACAATACATTTACCAAGAAAGATGGCCTGCTAGATTTCTCTTAACAGTTTATTTAATAGCGATTTATCCACTATGTGGTTAACAGAAACACTGGTCAAAAGTGCAATGAATAGGCTGGAGAGATGGCTCAGCGGTTAAGAGCTCTTGCAGAGGATCTGGGTTCAGTTCCCAGTACCCACATGGTGGCTAACAACCATCTGTAACTCCAGTTCCAGCAGATCCAATGTCCTCTTCTGACCTCCTCGGGCACTGCATGACACAGCTGTACTTATATACGTGCAGACAATACAGTCACACATATAAAAATAATACATTTTTTTTAAAAAGTACAGTGAACTTGCTGGGCATGGTGGCGCACACCTTTAATCCCAGCACTTGGGAGGCAGAGGCAGGCAGATCTTTGTGAGTTCAAGACCAGCCTGGTCTACACAGTGAGTTCCAGGACAGCTGGGGCTACAAGGAGACCCTGTCTCAAAAAAAAAAAAAAAAAAAAAAAAAAGTGCAGTGACCCAAGCTAGGCCTGGTAGCACAGGCCTTTAACCCCAGGATTCAGAAGGCAGAGACACATAGATCCCTGGCCAGGTCAGCCAGGGCTACAGAATGAGACCCTATCTCAAGAAAGGGGGGGAAAAAACAAAACAAAACAAAAAAAGTGCAACGAGCCAGGCGTGGTGGCGCACGCCTTTAATCCTAGCACTCGGGAGGCAGAGGTAGGTGGATCTCTGTGAGTTCAAGGCCAGCCTGGTCTACATAGTGAGTTCCAGGACAGGTGTGGCTACAGGGAGACCCTGTCTCAAAAAGACCCCCCCCCCAAAAAAAAGTGCAACCAACACCTGGCATTAACTGTCTTAGGGCTCCAAAAGCTATTTGTCACACTCATCCTTAAATTTTTCTTCACACTCAAGGTGGAAACCCTAGTGACCAGGAGACAGAAAGAGGGAGCAAAAGGACAAGTAGGCTCACATGCTTCAGTAACAAGTTGTCGCTGGCAGTATCGTGCTCAGGAATGGTGCCGTTTTCTGTATTCTCAAAAGGACTGGCGAGAATCAGAGCGATACAAATTTCCACTTGTGTGTGCAGAAAGTTGTTCCACGTGTACTTGAAGAACATGTCCTACAAATGAAAGTATTTTCTCCAGTTACTTCAATGCTAAAATGTCTCCAGAACTGTAATTAGAACATGATCTCAGGGTAGTGAGACGGCTCAGTCATCAAGTGCTTGCCGTGAAAGCAAGAGGACCTGAATCAGCAGGTGTGTCTGCAACCCACTGCTGGGGGCACAGAAAAAGATGCTGCTCACTGGCCAACCAGCCTGACCTAACCCATGAGCTCCAAGCTCCAGATTCAGTGAGAGAGACTGTCTTTAAAAATAAGGTAGAGGCCCAACAAGATGTACAGCAAGTAAAGGTGTTTGCCTTCAAGCCTGATTTACCTGAGTTCCACCCTGGGGGAATGGTGGAAGAACCAACTTCAAAAAGCACTGTATGTACGTGAGAGCACACCCATACGTGTGCAAAGATAAGAGTGACAGAGGAAGACATTGAATTCCAACCTCTGGCCTCCGTGGATACGTGCACCCACATGAACGAGGACAAGAAACAATATACTCTCATGACAAGAGCTAATTAAAAGGAACAAAAATGTATTTAAGGGGGGTCTGAAACACTGCTTCATAATGCAAGCAGCATATCTACCCATTCAACGACAGAAACCTGCATAAAGCGCTCTAGAAAACAAGGGGAAGCTCCAGAATCATGAAGACAAGCACAGGCTTGTCAGGAGAAAGTATCTTTGTTTTCAAACTAATCCAAATACTAAGGCCAGTAATTTTCACCCTGTAACCTGCAGGAAGTATGATCACTCCTTCCTAATAAACAACTTTCTAGTAAGCACTCTGCAGACCTAACCTATGAATCAATTGTGGGCCACTGTGACATGAATTCGATCCAAATGTCCTGTTTTTAGGGAATGGGAGTCTAGGTCAGCCTCACAGTTTTCTCCACAGTGTCCATGGAGACTAGAGGTTGGCATTCAGCACCCCCCTCGGCCACTCTACCCTTGTGAGCGCTCACATGTGCACACAGTACTTTTGGGAATTCTCTCCTTCCACCACTCTTAAGTAGAATATCAATTAGTAGAGTTCCACGTCTTAATCCTCTGATTCCCATTTGAAATCGGGCTTCCCACTCACAGAGAAAGCCCAAGTGCAGAGAACCCAGGGCAGTCATTTAACAAGGTAACCCTGTCACAGATGGGGCCGTGTCCAGTGAGCCCGCACCTCGTGACGTTTGTGCCGTGCCTGCTTTGTTCTGCCCCAGTGAGCTCTGCTTCCTCAGTGTCCTCCAAACTGTGCTTCCCAGCGCTGTGGAGGGGTGAGGTGAGCTCTCTCCCTGTGATCTCTGAGAATTCAGGCTGACCCCCAGAGATGGGCATCGACTCTCCACCACATGTCACACACTGGCTGGGACAGACAGGGAACGAACTAAATCCACCACCATTTCTACAGTCACGGTGGCAGTGCTGTAAGAAATCTGCTTAACAGGGCTGGAGAGGTGGCTCAGCAGTCACTGACTGCTCTGCAGAGGACCGGGGTTTGATTCCCAGCACCTACATGGCTGCAACACCAGTTCCAGGGCATCCAACACCCTCTTCTGATCTCCTCAAGCACTGCATGACACAGGTATGCTTACACACATGCAGGCAAAACACTCATACACATAAAATGAAAATAATAAACAAAATGCAAAAAAAAAGAGAAAGAAAGAAAGAAAGAAAGAAAGAAAGAAAGAAAGAAAGAAAGAAAGAAAGAAAGAAAGAAAGAAATGTTTCATAAAGTTCAGCACCCTGAACAGTCCCTACCCTGGCCATGATGGCAGTACTACAAAGTCCAGTCACTTTGTAAAGCGGAGCTATATTCTCATCAGCTATCAAGGATGACTTTAAATGTCTATGTGGGGAAATCTCACCAATATGACACCAATGCTGTTCAGCTCCATCAGGTCCCCATTTATACTGCTGGTATTGGTTTGGAGCAGGCTGGATATCAACCTAATCACATTCAATCGTGTGTTCCCCACAGGAGGATCCAGTACACCCCATGTAGTCTTCATCACACTTTTCTGAGGAAGAAAAAGCTTTCAAATCAAACTCAATAAAATAAACAAAGGTGCTTGTGCTGACTCTACAGTTGGTCAGCGAACAGGCAGCCCTGATCCTATGCCCAAACATACTCCAGAGCTGCTGGGTCATCAGGACATGGTGACATAACCACCTGCAATCTAAGGCAGAGCCACTGTCCTGGGAAGTGTGACCAGCAGCCTGCTCTCCTCTACAGATAAAGTTTCAAAGTCCCAAGATCACAGAAGCGGACACTGCAGAGTATGGGCATAATGACAGCAAAGAGCAACAAATTCAAACAAAGCACTACACTGCCCTGTGAAAGTCCACCCCTACCAGCGCCTCACTGCCCAGCTCTCCTCTATGTGGTATGCACAAGCCCTCCATCACAGACACAATGCAATCCAACAACTCTGGTTGGCAGCAGCACTTAGGACAGCTCCCCTACCTTAGGAGGCTCAAGCAGAAGTTCATGGAAAGAGCCAAGTCTTCCTCGGATGGCTTCTAGCACACTCTTGTTAACCGAACAAGCTGAATGACTCATGCCTGGTGGGCAGATCTCTATATGGCCTTCAAATCTGGAAAACAAATCAAGGTAACTTTACTTACTGTAATTTCACAGTGAATCCTTCTAGGTGTTCCATGTCAACCGTGTAAGCACACATACTACCAATCTGTAATTATATTATAGTTATGTCAACATTTCTAGCTGTGAAGAGGAGGAATTTTTGAAAACAGAGCATAAAAAAAACTCATGAGGTTGACCAACAGGCCCTGAAATCCCAAAGAGGATATGGTATTAAGAGATTACATCACAGCTCCATATTCTCCTAAACCTTTCAATCCTTGCAACTACTGTACTGATAGGTCTAGTACTAACCACAAAATATAGAAAACAAATGGAGATCTGACTCCTGGATCATAGGGAACACTGTACTGCCAGTCAGCCATGGATATTAACAACAAACAGGGCTACACTTATCCCGTATAAAGTAGTTTTGGGTAATAAACAGTATTCCCCACTTAAAAGGATTAAGTTATTCTACATTCAATCTGGGCTCATTATACTTCATGCCTTTGAGAACACAGTTACAGATGGAGAACTACCAATCTCAATTTCAGCCGGTCCTGGTGACTATAAGGGGCAGTGGTTCTTAATCTGGGGCAAGACAAGCCCAGGCCAATTTTAAAATGAGGGTTTAAATCCAAATTAAAAGATGCACTTCAAAGTGGTGTAGAGAGTACTACAGCAAGACCGCCTGGGCTCAAATACAGCCTCTTTACTTACCACTTAATTACTTATTTAAAAAAGACGAGAAGAGATCCCTCCCAGGACAGCAGTCAGGGGCCGCACACTGCCTGGCAGACACCCAGCAACCAGAGGTGCTCACTGCACTATCTACTGCTGGAGAACATGCCCTATGTGTGTGTCATATCTATCTCTGAAGGAGCACCGTTCAGAAACTCAATTTCTAGGGAAAGGGAAAAAGTAATACCTATGAGGGCGGGGAGGTGGGGGTACCCAAGAGAAACGTCACCTTAATTCTAAGCCTGTGAATGTCACCTAATTCAGGGAAAACATCTTTGAAGACATAATTAAGAAATCTGGCATGAAACTAAGAGTTATAGATAGCTGTGAGCTGCCACGTGGGTGCTGGGAACCAAACCTGGGTCCTTTTCAAGAACAGCCAGTACTCTTAACATCTATCTCTCCAGTCCCCATTGAGTGTGGTTAATGAGCGATCATTTTGGGAGCTCGGAAGATAACGTTGAGAAACATGCGACAATGGCGTCCTGGCCTATGAAGCCTCAGAGAAAGCAAAGACTGGGGACCCTTCCTGTGATAGACTGGAATTAAGAATCTGTGGTTTCTGGTCAGCTAGGGCAAAATCTTCTGGAAGTGTATTTGCAGGGTCAGTAATCAGAAGCTGTGGTTCAGCGGAGGCCAAGGCTGCATCTCAAGCTGGAAACCAAACGGGAAAATGTATTAGCATTTCCCACATGGTTCTAGGTTTCAAGGCAGGAAGGGGCCATGGAGAGCAGCTGGGGCTTGGCACCGTGTGGCCCTGAAGAACGGCCAGGAGAGGCCATTGGTGAAGGTGTGGCCTTAGCTGCAATGCAGACCCCAGCACAGTGGAAGTTCCAGGACTGTGGGATGGCCACGAAGGTCACTGGCAGGTGTGGAGTGTATCCAGCCTGAGCCCGTTAGATAAACCATGTGCTATGGACAGCAGAGATGGAGAAGCAGGGCTAACCAAACCCTGTGAAACCCAGAAGATCATGAGTCCTAGATGCTGAACATTAAAGCATTGTACTGCTGGGTTCTGATTTGCTTTGGTCTGATTTTAAGTATTTCCTGGTTCCTCCTTCTTAGAATAAGAAAAAGTACATAATTTGCTTTGATTTTACAGGAGTCCAGTTACCATATTTTTGGTGGGGGCTTTTTGAGACAGGATCTCAATGCAGCCCTGCTGACCTAGAACTTTATATATATATATATATATACACACACACACACACACACACACCAGGCTGGCTTAGAACTCGCAGAGATCCATCCGCTTCTGGCTGAGATTAAAGGTATGTGCTACCATGCTCGGCTTGCTTTAAATTTTAAAGTACTGAAAATTTTAAAGACTGGGATTACTGAACTGCCTTTTATATTATGGTATTAATGTTAAGATGAGACCTTGGGGACAAAAAAGGAGAAAGTTAAGGTTTAACAGTGATGTGCCTGTCAAGCTGACAAAGGGTAGACTTGTGATGATGGCTAAGCTTGGTGTCAACTTTCATACCTGGCAAGAGGGAATCTCAACCAAGGGACTTCCTTCATCAAACTGACCTGTGGACATGTTTGTAGGATTTTCCTGATTGCTAAATGACGTAAGGGGCCCAGCACACTATGGGTGGTGAGATTCCTAGGGAAGGGGGTCTGGGGCTACATAAAAAGGGAGCTGAATGCAAGGCTAGGAGCAGGCCAGGAAGCATCATCCCTTGGTGGTCTCTGCTTAAAGCTCCTGCCTTGGGTCCTCTCCACGATGGAACTGTAACCTATAAGATGAAATAAATCTTTGCTCCCCAAATTGCTTTTGGTCCTAGTGTTTGTTACAGCAACAGAGATCAATTACACTAAAGCATAAAGGCGGGTGGCGCACACTTTTAATCCCAGCACTCGGCAGGCAGAGGCAGGTGGATCTCTGAGTTTAAGGCCAACCTGGTCTACATAGTGAGGGCTCAAGCTGTGAGTTTAGGACCGACTGCAAAGCCGGAGCCATCAGGAGGACTGTGGAGAAAGCAGGCATGCAGATCACAGGAATGGCTTAGAGTTTGTCTCAAAAAGACCAAAGGGAGAAAAAAAAAGATTATGTTTTGATAACATATCTAAGAAAACTGTCTAAATAAACTAAAGATTTTCTTCTAGAACTTTCACAGTTTAAGGACTATCTGATTCTATCATCCATTTAGAGTAGGTCTTACTATAAACTGTGATGTACGTGAGGGGCAAAATTTTCCCATTTGGTGTATATTTTGTTCTGTGAGCAATTGCTGGGGGAAAAGTCCATCTTTTCTTGCACTGCCTTCAAACCTCCATCAACAACTCATGTACGTGCAGGTCTAGCCTGGACTCTAAGCCGTTCCTGTGATCTGCATGCCTGCTTTCTCCAGTCTTGATGGCTCCGGCTTTGCAGTCGGTCCTAAACTCACAGCATGAGCCCTTCAGCTTCTGTCTTGTCTTTCATAATTGTTTTAGCTATTGCACTTGCTTTGATGTCCACAAAGAGAACTGGTCTGATTTCTATTATAACTCTTGTTTAAATTTTGAGTATTGTGCTGAATCACCAAATCAGTTTTGGGAGAAATGACTATCCTTCCTTTTTACGGTTTATGAACAGTGTTTCCATTGATCTAGGTTATCTTTGTTTTCAAGAAGCTCTTAGAATTTTTGGCATAAACCTTACACACATTTTGTTAGATTTATACACAAAGCTGGCATGGCGGCACACACCTTTAATCCCAGCACTCCCAGTTGGTGGCAGAGGCAGACAGATCTCTATGAGATGGAGGTCAGCCTGGGTCTATATAGCAAGTTCCAGGCTAGCTGGGGCTACAGGGAGACCCTGTTGCAAACAAACAAAAAAAAAACGAAAACAATGAACAAACAAAAGGAAAGAGTTCTATATAAGCAATTCCTTTTCTATAAAAGATGTATTTTTATTTAATGTGTCTGAGTGTTTTGCATGCATTTATTAAAGTGTATCCATGTCGTGCAGTGCCTGCCTAGGACAGAAGAGGGCAATGGATCCCCTGAAATGTGAGTTACAGAGAGTTGTCAGCATGTGGGTACGGAGAACCAAATCTGGGTCCTGTGCAAGAACAGCCAGTGCTCTTAACTGCTAAGGCAGCTCTCCAGCCCTCAAATGACATATATATAATTTTAATTACAAATGTTCATTTCGAGTACACAGAAATAAAGTTAATTAGTACTGAGTTACTATCTATGTGGACTCTTGCTAAACCTGCCCATTGGTGGTAAAAGATGCCTTTGCATATCCTTTAGGAGTTGCTCAAAGACAACCCCGCTATCCAGGGCCAGACAGTTTCATATTATCCTTCTAATCTGGATGCCTCTCCTCTGTGATTCCTGCAAAAGATTTGCTGATATATAGTAATTTAATGAAATGGTGGCAAGATTTTCTTTGTTCCTATGTGATTTTTGAAAGATGAACGAGCCTTGCAAGTCATACAATGAACTACCTTAATCATGTCATATATGCTTCCAATATATTGTTTGCTACATATTTTGTTCATGCTCGTATGTGTGAGAGAGACAGAGCTGTATGTGTGGTGCATGCACTTGTGTGGTTGTGGGGGTCTGTGTGTATCCACAGAGAACAGAGGTAGAGGTCAGGTGCTTGCTTGATCATTTTCTACTTCATTCCCTTGAAACTGTCTCTTGTTCAATGTGGAGCTAGGTAGTGGCCAGTGAGAAGCAGCAACTTGTTCCACCAATTGCAGTACTGGGGGTACAGGTGGCACATGGGAAGCTGTGCCCAGCTTCATCTATGGGCACTGCAGATTTGAACGTAGGCCCTCATGTTTTCATACCAAGCACTCTTACCCATGGTCCTAGTTTGCTTTTCTGTTGCTGTGATAAACAATGTGAGGAAAGGGGTCATTTGGCTTACATTCCAGGCCATAGTCCATCGTTGGGAAAGGTCAGGGCAGGAACCATGGAGAAGGTTGCTTGCTGGCTTGCTTAGGAGCCCTAGAGCCTCCTCCTGCCTTGGTGCAGCACTGTCTCCAGAGGCCGGATCCTCCTTCACCCATTCATAATCAAGTTAGCCCCTCATGTGCCCAGCAGACGGCCTGATCTATGCGATTCCTCTCTTGCGGCTTCTGCTCTCAGATGACTCCAGGCTGTGCCGAGCCGACATTTAAGGCTCAGTAGCACACTGGGCACCTCCTGGTCCCTGACTGCTACATTTGATCTCTCCTGTCCTGTTCTTTCTTTTACGGCAGCTAGTTCTTTCTATGGGGTTAGTCTAGTTCAGTCTCATTTCAAGGCAAGGCTTGCTTCCTTACCGGGTTGCAACACGTTCCTTCTCCTGTACTCATCTTTGATAAAACTCATCACCTGAGCCTCTCTCTCTACAGGCACAGAATGCTCTGTTGAAGTTGAAAATGGAACTGAGTTCTTCACGGCTATAGAAGGCTGCCTATTTCTTAAGTGAGCATTTTCAGTTTTTTTTTTTTTTAAACATACTAGGTTAAATTCCTCCCTTCAGCTAAGTAGCTGAATTTATTTAATGAGTTGTCTGTAACATCCTATTTTTTAGGGCTGATAAGAAACAAGACTAGCCTCTCATTTTTTTGTTTTGTAATTTGTATTTTTTTCTACTTTTTCCTTAAACCATCTGCCTAAAGGTTTATTCGTTTTATTGACCTTTTCAGAGAACTAGCTTTTGGTTTCACTGTTTTGTTTTTTCCTTGATTCCACTGATTTCTACTCTTTAAGCTTTACCATTTCTCTCCTTATTCTTGCGTTTAATTTGTTGCTCTTTATAAACTAATTTCGTGGACTGGTGAAAAGTATTTATTGCATAAGCTTGGTGACCTGCTTTCGACACCTGGAAAGCAGAGAGGAAAAAAGAGCCAACTCGGACCACACCTGCTGGACACTCTGATCCTATGCTGCCCTCCGACCACACACACTAGATACTGCTACTCTGACAGCTCCGCAACTCATGACTACAGCCAAGTCTGCTTACCTAACTGAGGTCTTTATCAAGTCTTCCACTGTTAAGTTAGTTACTATTTTTTTCCATATAGTACTTTTGGAACCCACACTTAAAGAAAAGAGAATTACATTCTAACCCCCGAGGATGGAGTATCTGCATTAATTTGTCTATTTCCTCCAACTTACATATTCAATAATTTATTTGTATCAGTAAGAATCTGTATTCCATAATTTGGGCTACAATGCCATACTACTTAATGGACTCAACTCTGGCTGATGGGAGCACCCCCCAACTTTCTTAGTGTTCCCTTGCTTTGTGAGACATTAGATGCTGCATGTTGACCACACCAGCCATCTCTTCATGGGAGCCTTGCTGCTTTTAATCGGAGAAGAGGATCAGAAAGCAAGACCTGGGCACCTGAATGGTCCTCTTGACGGACAGGGACTGTTTCCCATTCCCTCATGGCTCGCTGCTAATGTCCTATGTGAGAACATTCTTCATTTGTGCTGGTTTCGTTTCCAGCCTCTACAGGACCTCAGCCTCCCAAACGTCCTCCATCTGTCTGCATGCTGCCTACTGTTCCCACAGCTCTGACATGCTAATCCCATTTACCTTAAATTTCCCTTCTGATAGTGTTGACAGCATTGAGTTGCTTTCTATCACTGCTTTTTCTCTTGTGAGCTTCTTGGGGGTTTTTCCTTTGTTTTTTGAGACAGGGTCTCCCTGTAACCCCAGCTGGCCTTGAACTCACAGAGATCCGCCTGCCTCTGCCTCCCAAGTGCTGGGATTAAAGGTGAGTGCCACCAGGCCTGGCATTTTATTTCTTTTTTTTTTTTAATGTATTATTAATTTTTATTTTATGTGTATGAGTGTACTGCCTGCATGTATATAATGTATGTACATATATGTAATGTAAGTACATGTATGTAAAGCCTGCATGTATGTAAGTGCATCTGTGTCGTTCAGTGCCTGCAGAGGACAGAAGATGATGTTGGATACCCTGGGACTGAAGTTATAGCTGTTTGTTACCTGCTATGTGGGTGCTGGGGTTTGAACCTGGTCTTCTGCAAAAGCAGCCAGTGCTCTTTACTGCTGAGCCGTCTCTCCAGGCCCCACTCCCCAACCCCCGCTTACTATCCTTGGCAGACAGGTCCATCTTGTGTAGAAGAAACTAACACGGCAACATTTCTGTAAGAGCAGAAAGCGGCATACCTGGAATTTATGTAAAAGTCGATTCTTTCCCTAGCCCTTTAGTGCTGGTTTTGAATCATCTCAGCAGCTGGGCGAGGGTTCGGTTTTGTTGTTATGATCCCCTTTGGTGCTCTGAAAACTTCCAATTAGTCTCCAGTTACTTTGCATTTATTGTTAAGGCCCATGTGCCAAAATTTTCTCAATGTCTGCCCCATCCATGGCTTAGATCAGTTCTCGAAGTCTGATCCTTCCTGCCCCCAGAGAGCCTCCTTCCACACACTAGCCTTCCTCCAGCAGCATACTACTATTACTTGTTATCTGACACGTGGAGACCTGGGAAAGGGACAGGGAAGTGAAGTGCCTTGGCTCCTGGCACCCCTAGGTCTCCAGGGTGGGGCTTGAACCTCAATGGTCTCAACGCAGAAAGTGTTCCTGTCTCTCCCATTGGTCACTTCCTCTCACTACAAATGGTCTCACTGTGCTTTTATAGGTGAAGAGGTTGCTTTTCTTACCTGAGTGGCTTAGGGTTTTGTTTAGAGTCAAGGACAGAGAAGGCTCCTGATAGAGTATCATGGTTCCCCAGGCTACGGTTCTACTGCTGAGGACTGCACCAGGGACACACGCCCTCTGCCTCTCTCTCTGCTTACCTTGAGTGTGTCTCTGCCGAAGCACCTACAGGCATGGGCACAGACGAGTGTCCATAGCATCTCCAAAGGTACTGGCAGAAGAGTCCCTACAGCATTAAGAGGTAGGGCTCTTGGGCAGAGCCTGGGTCACATCTCTCACAGTTAGGACTAAGATTATAATGAAGACCCAAGCGATAAGGCAGCTGTCAAGACTGTTACTCTGGGGCTGGAGACGGCTCAGCGGTCAAGAGCACTGACTGCTCTCAGAGGACCCGGGTTTGATTCCCAGCACCTACACGGCAGCTATGAAATGTCCTTAACTCCAGTTCCAGGGGATCTGATGCCCTCTTCTGATCTCTGTGGGCATTGCACAACATGGGTTCACTTACATACATGCAGACAATACACTCTCATACACATAAAATAAAAATAATATAAAATATGAAAAAAACCAAACAAACCAAGAAACACAAAAACAAAGCCAGGCCTTTAATCCCAGCAGGCAGAAGCAGAGGCAGAGGCAGATCTCTGTGAGAACAAGGCCAGCCTGATCTACCTAGCAAGTTCTAGCTGGGGCTATAAGACAACTCTGTCTCAAAAAAAAAAATAGTGCAGTGTTCTCCCGTCCTGTTCTAAAAGGGCGCACTATCTCAGACGTACTTCTTAGATTTGTCCATGGAAGCCTCCCAGCACCACAAGGCATGTGTCGTAAGCACAGGAAGGTGTGTGGCGGCTGAAGCATGAGCAGGAAGACAGCTCTGCCATCTACAGAATGGATTTCTCGGGAAGACAAAGAAGGCAAATTCACAGTCTTCAAATCATAACACTTGAAGCAGTGCTGGCAAAGTGCCTTTGTAGTGCTTCTGACAGATACTAGCGCCTGGGCAGGCAGGGACCAGGCATTTGGGAGTGGGGCTCATGAGGCATCTTTATGAGGCATCTTTATTACTACGTCACAGACTCACAAGTATTGTGTGAGGAAAAAGAGCCCCTTTTGCTAGCACTGTGAGAGGATGCAGTCCCTTCCCTCCAGGTTACTGGGTTTATGGGAGGAGTCAGCAAACTGAGAGAAGACTCCAACCTCCACACACTCCTAACACTTACATACATGTACACCTCTTCAACCGTGACAATGAATCCATCAGCACCGGATACAAACCGTAAAGAGTAATGTGACAAACATCTAGTGGCTTGTCCAGGGCCACACAGGAAACAGCACACCACAATCTTGATTATCAAGTACTTAGCAGAAATTTCTCCTAAGGCTACCTGCTCGCCACCCTCAGGAAGTACAGCGCCCTCAGAATAAAATACAGAAAATAACCGTGAGTTAGCGCCTGTGGAAAGGAATCATAAGGCGAAAGAGTCCCCCTGGTCAGCACTAGGAGGAGTGCGGCCTGCCAACAAGGGCACCCATCTTTCATCTTTGTGAGCAGCACACAGTCTGCTCTATCTGGGCCACTGTGTGCTTGTGTTTCAGATCTGCATACACTGCACTCATTTCAGTGGCAGTGTCCTAACTACAGCAACAACAAACACAAAATACTGCCATCAAACCCTATTTTCAAACTGTATTCTATAACATAAGCATTCGTGAAATGAAGTTATTGCTCATACAGCAGAAAAAGATCAGCGCCTGCTGTTCAGGGCATGCTACTATGGTGCACACAGTGAGAACTTAACTCTTCCTTTAAAGAAATCTAAAAGTAAAACAAGACTGACAGCTTGGAGGGAAACTTACGCTGGTCGTCGGGTCTCAAGTAAAGTCAGCAAAATCTGGATTGCACTGACTATGGCAGACTCATTCTTCTCCTTGTGGAAAATATTTGATAGAAGTTGTTCTATAATTTCTTGCCTAGGGAAACAAGTCAAAAGTCAAGCACTAACTGTAAAATCCTCTGACATTTGCAACTAAAAAACCCCAACACAATTCACAGGAGAGTAAATATGGGCATGTCTGTAGATTATGTCCTTTTACAGAATGATCTAGATTCTGTCTGCCTTTGCCAATCTTGTTGAGAACCAACAAATACTTAAACAGGGAGTGGTCTATGCAAAGTAGGGTGCTGGGCTGGTGACAACTGAGGGCCCTATGGTAAAGACTGAGAACTTACTCACAAAAGGGTCAAGGAGGACTATTCCTGTTCTCTCATAGGACATTGCTGTGCAATCAACAGAAATGCAAGCAGATTAAAGGACCATTCATGGAGCTGGAGAGAGGGCCCAGCGGCTTACAGAGGACCTGGGTTTGATTCCCAGTACCCCCATGATGGCTGACAATCATCTTTAACTCCAGTTCCAAGGGATCCGACGTCCTCTTCCAACCTCCAAAGCATTGCATGACACAGTGCACTCATACATGTAGGCAATACACTCATACACACAAAATAAAAATAAAATATTAAAAAATAATCATTCACTGTTGCTTTTTACACTACAGACCAAATATACTGAGTCAAAAGACCCAGCACTAAAAGTGCTTATGATCTCTAGTTAGGGAGCACTGGAGAAGTCCCACAGCACACAGCCTTCTAGCAGCAAACACTAGGTCTGGAAATGCTTTCTGCTAAATACACACTCTTCAGCAGTGGCTACCCCAGAAATGTACAGTATGTGTCCCTATTCTGCTCAGGCCATGCAGGCCTCTCACTTGCCACAGCAATGCCACACTTCAGAACACGGAAAACTAAGGCAGTGGTGAACAGGCCCAACCACCTCATGGCTATGTCAACATGGTACCATGAGGAATTCTACTGAGGGCCAAACCAACGTAATAATCAGTAAAAGTTTAAGACTCAACACAGTACCTATGCTATACCCTGAGCCTTATCTAAACATACCATTATCATCAAACACCAGAAAAGAAATGCTTTTTATTTTAGTTTTTAGATTAAGAAATGTTTATTTATGGGGCTGAAGAGATGGCTCAGCAGTTAAAAGTACTGGCTGCTCTTGCAGAGGACCCACTTTCGAGTTCCAGCACCCACATGGCAACTAACAACTAACGACCATCCCTAATTCTGGTACTAAGGGATCTGACACCCTCTTCTAACCTTTGCAGAAACTGCACAACACGGGTGTACTCACATACATGCAGACTATATACTCATACACATAAAATAGAATAAAAATATTTTAGAAGAGGTGTTTGTTTACATTAGAGAGAATATATTCACATACCCACATTAAAACACAGGCATGATTAACCAAGCATCAGTAAAACACTGCCTGAAGCCATCAAGGACTCATGCCCTTGGGGCAATGGCTCACTCTAGTTTTAGTTTTTTACATGGGTGGCCACAGAAACAAAAGACATCTACGAAACTGACTCAAAAATGGGACTCTCTAACGTATTCCTAGTTCATTTACAGAATTAAGATACACAGTCCAATTCAAAGAGAACTGTTTAGAGAATTTTGAATCTAACACTACTAACAGGAATCATTTAGGTCAGGCTCAAACGGCTTCTTCAGCCACATGGTCACTGAACAGTCAGTTAACTCAAGGTTCTTGGCACCACGACTGTTCCTCACTACTCTTTACCTTCAGCCCACCCCAAACTCTTCCTTCAGTGCTAAGAGGCATTTCTGTGACACTTACATACACAGTAGTACCAGCAGAAATCAAGTTGAGCACCAGCATGCATGTCTCTGCTTCCTGAATGTGGATGCAATGTGACCAGTGCCTCACACTCCTGCCACCACACCTTCCCTGCTGTGATGATATACCTTTGACCTATGAGCCGAATTAAACTTTTCCTTCCTTTAAAAAAGACAAGGGGCTAGAGAGATAGCTCAGTGGTTAAGAGCACTGGCTGTTCTTACAGTGGACCTGGGTTCAATTCCCAGCACCCACATGGCTGCTAACAACCGTCAACAACTCCAGTTCTAAGGGATCTGACACCCTCTTCTGACGAGGGCACTGCACAACACGGGTATACTTACATGCAGACAATATACTCATACACACAAAATAAAAATAAAATAAGATTTAAAAACACACAAGAACCAATAATGTGCGAATGTGTAAGGCCATTATACCATGGGAACACTATTACAGATGAAGGCTGTCCACTGCTAAGTTCAGGGACCTTTTTTTCCTTGCAACATAAGGCCACTGGCTCAGCAGGTCCATGCACTTGAAGAAACTCACGCTAACATTTAATGATATAAAGTAAGATCATATATTATCGTCACAAAAAAAACTATATGGGACTAAAGGCACAGCTTGAAATGTAAAGTCAAGCACATACCTGGGTTCTGGCGACCCTGAGCTCAGAGCTCACTGCTGAGTAGTCCAGTGTGTGGGTTGACCCTGCACTGGCTACTCACTACATGTGGTCACCAACCAACACTAAGACTGTAACTCACTGGCCGGGCCTGGTGGGGCACACCTATAATCCCAGTAGAGGCCGGTGGATCTCTGTGAGATTGAGCTCAGCCTAGTCTACACAGTGAGCTCTGGGACAGCTAGGGCTACAGGAAACTGCTGTCTCAAAAAACAGAAACAAGCCGGGCATGGTGGCGCACACCTTTAACCCCAGCACTCGGGAGGTAGGGGCAGGCGGATCTCTGTGGGTTCGAGGCCAGCCTGGTCTACACAGTGAGTTCCAGGCCAGCTGGGGCTGCAAGGGAGAGCCCGTCTCAAGAAGACAAAAAAAAAAAAAAAAAAAAAAAAAAAAAAAAAAACAAAAAACCCCAACAACAACAAAAAACCCAGAAACAAACAAATACAGATGTAACTCATTACTCTGACATATTCTAAGTAGAAAATGCGTAATATATTTCAAATAAAAACATTAAAATGTATGTGGCTCTTGTATTTTTGTTGGATGGCAATCTTGGCAACCACATGAAATTGCTGATGCTTAAAATTTTTTGCCCTACCTACATGACAATTTTACATGGTTTAACCTAATGAATACTACTATTAGTATCTGGATGTGGAAGATCTTGTGTTTGAAGGGAACAGACAGGCACAGACACAGACACACACACACACACACACACCCCTGTGATATAACATCAAGAACTATTGAAACGGGGTAACCAGCAATCTACAGCAGTTTAGCTACTTCGGGGAACACATCAACTTTCTCTTCTTCTGCAGTACGTTACAGTATTTCTGTTGGAAATACAACTTGGCTTTCTCGGGAGACGGCCAAAACAAGCTCCCTTAAATTTGCCCCTTCCCTGTCTTACACTTACCAGGGAAATCACATGCCAATGTTTTGATAAAAAGGCAAAGATGCTTTAGCAAAAGAACCTCACTGCATCAGAAGACTACAAAGGACTGGAAGGATCTCTTTATTGAAAGGCGGCGGCAGTCAGCTAAGGCAGCTAGCTCACACTCGATGCCACCTGTGTGTACTCTTCCAGTCACTCCTCCAAAGGCAGGAAATGCCCATTTTTTTCTCTATTTAAATCATTTTAGCAGTTTTGTGTGGATCCGAAAACAAAAAAACAAAACAAAACAAGACCAAAAAAAAAAAAAATAACAGCCCACCCCTGGGATATCTTGCCTTCAACATGAGCTGCAAAAACACACTAAGTCAGTCCCAGAAGTTCTTCAGACCAAACTGACAACTTGAATGGGTCTAATGCCTACACATACACAGACTCCATTAAAAAATCATCCCCTTAGTCATGAAGTGGCACTTACATTTGAGGATGGCTCTGTAAAATGCTGTTTGGCAGACATCTGAGCAAGAATTCCACACGCACACAACACTCACGGGCACCTGCTCTCACCACCCCAGGTCTTCCTCAGCCTGCTGCCCACACAAGAGCACCTCACTTACCAGTCACTCACAAGGCAACACAGCAAATTATGTCAAATGAGGAAACAAGAACGAGCTGTGAACATACTTCTCTAGAGTGGCAAGCAGGGGGTCTGGTTCTGTACTGTTCTGAACTTGTAACATCTGGTCTCTGCTCAGGCGAACAATTTCACAAAGTGACTGTGAGGCATTTGAATGCCGCTAAAGGAAAAAGGCACAATTTTAGCTATGAAATCGGTTAGAAATTACTTGTAGAGTAACAAGGGGGGGGGGGGATTGAGATATAATACAAATTAACACCATCCATAAGCTCTAATGAGCAAATCAAGTCCCAAAAAGATGTATAAACATCTGGCGGCCAGGCTGGTGAGCGCCACGTTCACAGCTGCACAATGAAGATCACCAGGGCACAGAGACCGGAGCAAAGTTCTGACATTAAATAAAATCTGAGTAATGCTTGAAAAACTATCCCCAAAACAAACCTTTATCAGCAAAGACAGATGTACACGTTTGGGGCTCTGGAGGGGGGCTAGCTGAGCTTTGTCTACCTTTCTGGGGCACTCTGGCCTCAGTGCTCATGTTCTGTCCCTTCTGTACTCTCTGAAGTGATGTTTAGAACACCACCATCTGCAGAGATGATACATATCCAGGATCCACATCCACCCACTGACTAGAATCAGGAGCTCAACTTGAATGAATATTAACTACTCTGTACTTTATTTTTCGAGACAAAGTCTCACTGTGCAGCCCAGGGAGGCCTCCACCTCATGACCCTCCTGCTTTAAGCCTCTCCTGCCGTAGGATAGACTGCTGGTACCACACCTGCCCTGGTCAAGCTTTTGTCTTTCTCAAAACACACTGCTGCCAAAGTGGGCTTCTCCTTTCCAAGTTCTCTTGACCCTACAAACAAGTACTGTCCAGTAAGAAACCAAGTCCCCCTCAAGAACATAGTGAGGCCAAGCCTGTTTGTGGAAAGTGCTCCCTACAAATGGAGCAGACTCTGCACGTGTCACTGCTTCCCACAGCCCACACTGGTCATGCTCCCAGCACTGAGTGCTCCTGGAACTACTGAGCTCCCTGCCTAGAGCAGAAGGGACTAGCATCGAGTAAGCCCAAGAGTTCCTTCGAGATCAGAGTTCCACACCAGAGCTCTCCCTTAGAACTCAGAACATACCTGCACTGGGAGACATGAAGACTATCAACGGGCCAAAGTACCAACGACCTCAAAGGCACGTGTGCTGCACAGTCCCAAGAAGGGATGATGACTACCACCACACCCGCCCCTGCTGCCTCCACCCCTTTTGAGACTGAGTCCCTCTGTGCAGCCCTGGCTGGCCTGAACTCTATGTATACCACACTAGTCTTGAACTCGCAGAGATCTGCCTGTGCCTGCTAACTGCTAGAGTTAAAGGTGTGCACCACCATGCCTGGCCAATGAAGGTCCCCCTTTTCAAGCAAGTATTTTAGGTCAATTTCAGGTATGAAAAATTTCTGAGTCATTTAAAGCAGCAGTCAAATCCACCTCCACAGAAAATCCACCGTCAAAGAACAAATACCCTCTGGTTACACGTGTCTTCCTCTGGTCTGCTCATCCACACAATTCACTCCCCAATTTGACAATCCAGAGGCATATGAAGAGAATCCTAAGGCCTCAAACACTGGATCACCTTAAAACCAATTCCTACATGGACACGAGGTGGAAACCTTACAGAGGTATCATGTCTGTAGATGATGGCCTTCAGCCAATCTCAAATGGCTTGGCTTAATAACTTGAGGGGCTGATGCTCTAGGCCTTAGAAACACACCCCCCAAATCCTCAAGACAGAGTTCAATTTGTAAACAGCAATCCAAGCTTCAAAGCCATGGTCACATCTGAGTTCGAGCTCTAGCACCAAGGGTGGGAGGTAGAAGAGGAGGGGACAGGACACAGGGACTAAGTGCCACAATGTCCTCTCCAGTGCCTACCACACAGGCTGAACCTTAAAGCTTGAAGATCAGGACCAGGAAGTCAGTGTTGGGGTTCAGTGTTGACTAAGACCCTACTGTGATGTTTCCAAAGCTTTAGCCAGAACACTCAGTAGTAATGCACATGCTGCCCTATCACCAAGCCTACAAAAAATACGGAAGAAAAACAAGTACGGATGGAAATTTGCAGCAAAGCAGGTTCAGCACAAAATCCCAGTGCTGGAAGGACACAGTGCTCTCTTGCTGCCTCACAACTCTAAATCATGTACAAGCAGAACGTAATGCTGCTCACACAGCCAACTGCTTAAGAACACCATGCTACCACAGTCCTGTGTGTCCACTCTTGATTACGTTCACACGTATATGCAGGTATGTTCTTTGCCCAATAATTATTTTTATTAAAAAAAATATAAGTATATGCTGGGCGTGGCGGTGCATGCCCTTAACCACAGGGGCAGGTGAATCTCTGTGAGTTCCAGGCCAGCCTGGTGTACATAGTGAGTTCCAGGCCAGCTGGGGCTACAGGGAGACCTTGTCTCAAAAAGACCCCCACAAAAAAAAAAGAACATATATATGTATATATAAAAATAAATAAATATAAACACACACACACATACACACATGTAGTCACCCAGGAGAACTTACGTCTTCCTCTTGTGATGGATGAACTACCTCCACAAGCCTCTGGATGACGTTCTCTTCGTTGAGCCACTATAAGATATTGCAGAAGCAATCAGAGCAGTGAGCCTCATTTTAGGTTAATATACTGGCGATATCCATCACATTTTAAGTAGAATGAATGCTACAGGGTTCTCACACTTTGAACACTACAGAAAATTAAAAAGTACCCCAAGGAAAATGCTAGCAAATATTTAATTTTAACAGTGACCAAGAGTACCAACAACTCCCCACATTCCAATAGCAACAGTCTTAGATCTAGACCTCAGCTGCTGGGTGCCTGCTGGATACGTAGCATGTGGAAGAGCCCACACTCTGGTTATAGAGACTGAGCAGCTGGAATGCACACTTCCATGACAGTGTGAGCTCTGGGCTGATTCAGACCAGCTAAGAACAGTACTTAATACCAAGCCTCTGGGTTAAGAAAGCACAACTTGAAAGGGGGCTTTTGCATTCCCAAACCAAAGGCACTGCAGGGCTGCGGAGTGGGGAATACCTCTAGAAGCAGAGCAAGGACCACCTGCCCCATCCTATGGGGAAAAGGGCTGGACCACAGCCATCTCCTAATCTCAGCATGAGATACAGTAATGAAAACATAAAGGGATTAGAATGAAAACAAAGGAGCACTTATTAGCGCCCCAGGAACTGAAGCACCGTAACAAACAAGGCTGCTCAGTCCCTGGAAAGCACACTTAGCACTCTCCGAAGGGTGATAGGAAGCCGGTAAGGACTAGGGTGAAGGGCAAGAGACCAAATACATTGGCTAAAGGCAGAGACAAAGCCCTGGTGCTGACTCTGGCTCCTTAGAGGGAATATATGGGTGAAAGGGAAATACAAACAAACATGGGGCAGGCTTAGGGATAGAAGCCCAGCACTAACTTTTATTGCATTTCATTTATTTTGTGTAGGTTTTGTGGAGGTCAAAGGATAACTTGTAGGAGCTGGTTCTCACCTTCCATCATGTGGGTTCCAGAAAAGAACTCAGGCCATCAGTAGTTTGGTGGCAGATAGGTGCCTTTACCCACTAAGCCATCTTACCAGCTCTTGAGATCAATTTTATACCACATGCACGAATCTCCCAGAATTTAGTAGGCCGGGAATGATGAGACTTCCCACAATGATACCTGGGGTTATACTCTGAGAGCAATGCCCTACAGCTCCCAACTGTAGAGATGCCAGGACATGTGGTGGGTGGTGAGCTACTGGGTTCTGGACCCATATCCTCTGCACAGCTATTCACAAGCACTTAACAACAGTTAAGACTTTTAGAAGTTTCTCACTCCTCTGTACTACCTACTCCCTTACTAACCACACAGCACTCTCCCAGAAGCACAACTCTTTGGAAATGGGCTCTAAAATTCAGATCAGAAGTGGCCAGAGGAAAAGACCAATTCTAGCAAAGCATACTGATAAACTTCCCCCAGTAGTAACTCAAACATAAAAGTGACCCTCCTCTGCCTTGTCCCCAACAGCCTTTCCCTTGAAAGAATCTTGAATTCTTTTGAGAAAAGACTCAGATCTAAAGAGACATAAAAGGACCCAACTGTCTCAATTCAAAACTTGCAAACAAGCAAGTCCCACTTAACTGGTCTCTCCACAATGACCACAGTGCCCAGATCCAGCTCTCACCCACCACGTATAGCAAGCCTGCCCACTTTGGCATAGTGGACCTCACACTGGTCAGCACCCGCAGCAGACTCCCTCATAGGGCAATCTGTTTCTCCTAGTCTCTTCAGTCTTTAAAGCTAGAGTTTTCAACAAAACTCATTTCCAATGAGATACAGATTTTATTTATTTTGAGACAGGATGTGACTACATAGCCCACGCCTGGTACAACTTATAATCCTACCCCTTCAACCTGCACGGTGTTGACATTATAGGCACCTAAAACCACATCCAACTGAGATGAGTTTTTAAGGTTCTAAGGTATCAGTGATGAGACAAATTAGGGAACGGTTCCAGAAACGGGGTAAGGGGGGAAGGGAGTGACAGACAAGGGCCCAGGAAAAGCTCACATTTGGGTTATGCACACCTTATCTCCAGTTCAATTTCACCAGACACTTATCTATCTATTCAAGATGTTTACAGTCTGTACCACCAACCTGCCTGGACTTCTCCATGTGAGCCCATTCTCCTACCTGGCACCCGTGCAGGAGTGCTCTGTCTGCCTGTCCTCTCAGGGGTGCTCTGCTTGCCTAGCCCTCTCTGGAAAGCCTCCAAGCACACTTGGATGAGATCCAGAGCTCCAAACATTCTCTTCTGATCTAGCACTAGACTCAGCTTCACGATGAATCCAGCACATTCTACTTCAGCACCCACAAAAACCCAACCAACAAAGGGCAAACAACTATCCAAAACACATCCTGAATCCAAGTCCTGCAAAATCTGAATCTTTTCCTGTGTTGGGATAACTCCCTCCCTGCCCCCAGCCAACTCTCACCTTGAGGGACTTACCCAGCACGCAGGAGCCTGGGAGCCCACACACCAGCACCCCACCCCAGCCAACAGTAAGTTAGATCACTACTCACATTCAGTACATCTTGCCTGGGCTGTGGAGGCTCAATACACGTCAGGAGCCTGAGCAACAAATCCATGATAGCAGAAGTCCCTATGTGCTTTATAATAAGATCTACAAAATCACGCTTCTTCTTTAAGAAGTCCACAATCTAGAGGAGAACAAATCAAAAGCAGAAAGATGTGTAACTTGGGAACTACAAAATTGAGACAGTTTTCATTCTACAGCCACCTCCTCCAAAATCATGCCAGTTTAGGTCAGGCACAGGGAGGCACTCAATCTACAAAGAGATGCCAAACTGGGAAGTCTGGCAAACAGTTACAATTTTCAAAACCCCTTAGGAAAAGGTTCTCCCAAAGTAGCACAGATTCCCTAATTCACATACAACACAATAGATTTTCTTTCTGCTCATTTTCACTGTTAATTCTAGAAGAATGAGTATCAAAATTTATAACCTTATAAAGAACTAAAGACAGACTATATTTATAAACATAAAATGATTCCATTAGATAATGCTAAAGCATTAAAATGCAACTACTCAAAAACTTAATTACATTCTAGCAAAAGAGAGACATTCCAAACAAAGATTTCTCCTTCAAAGTAACTAACTTGCTGGGCACACAAAGGTGATCTGGACTGCACTTCAGCAGCAGGGCTGACTAATGTAAGAGAGGGTACTGGGAGGAGGTGACCAGCTATGCCAGCAGAGGAGAAACTACGAACAGAAATGAGGGCTCTGTCCTGGGTCTCCTCTGCAGCAGAAGAGGGAGCGGTGCTCTGCCCTTCACAGTCTTCTCACATGCCTGTTTGCTCCCAGCACCTTTAAAACCCTCCCATGTGTCCTGGGAGCAACAGGACAGGGTCAGAGTTTCTGTCACAAAATCTCAATGAGCCCTGGGAGGTAGAGACTGAACAATGTTACAGATGAGGAAGCTCAGATGTGCAAAGTGTCTCCTAGGGCCTAAGGATGGCCATCCTGGGATTAAAGCTCAGATCCATGTGCTGAGGACGTCAAGGCTTTCCAGTGTGCGGAAGTCTAAGAGCAGGTATGGCTACAACTACAGCTGATCCCGTCATCCAAGTATAGGAGTGAGCAGCTACGTACTGCTTCTCCAGACAGTGAAACTAAGACTTCAAGAAGTGACACAGTCATGCCACTCACAACTCAGTCCCACTGAAGGTTCCAAAAGGATAGTAAAGGAGACAGGAGGAGAAAAGTCACACGCAGTCAAAATACTCCACGATTCCCTGACAGAAACCCCGGGCCTGGAGCCTACAGGCACAAGTCTCGGCTGGCACTGTGGATAGTACCAAAGGAACGCAAAGCCTTTGCCTTAGACAGCACCGCTGAAGGGTAAGCCACTCAACACTGCCAAAAGCTGGGCACCCTGTTCTTGGAGGTAAACAGCATCTTTCTGGCTAAGCCATTTGAGTCTGCATTTTTCATCGCTACCTGCGTTTACTTAAGTCCTAACTAATACTATCACAATAGGAAATCTTTATTTACGCTCACAATTCTGAAAGGATAGAAAGTTGCCAATCTTGACTTTTCTCTGTAGTTAAATGAGCAAGGGCTGCTGTACCTACTCAACGTCATCGAAGGAATGCTAGATGGAGAACAAGGACTGGCCGGGGACAGGGACCTCTACTCAAGGAGGAGCACAACTGACTTGGAGGCCGGTGTCAGTGTGCAAAACCCAGGAGTCTCATGCTTTACCTCACAAACACCAAAAATCACAGCTTCTAAATGTGGGTTCCAATCACAGAGAGATGAGAATAAAAAGATAATGAAGCAATGTTTGGGGGAAAGGTTGCAGCCAGCTCTGAGAACCGACGGGCAGTGCCAGGATGATGGGATGACTGACACTCTCCCTCAACTGTCAGCAATACTTTGATCTCTCTGCAGAAAGCAGACAAGGGGGACACTGTGTTACGGAAACCATGACTTGAGGGCTGTGAGCCAGGGAAAGGCTCTTAACTTCCAACACACCTGGGAAAGTCGTCCTACTCAATTAAATATAAAAAGAACAATATCGTCCTTCTAATTAAAACATGTGCCCAGCCTTGGTACAGGACAGAACATACTGGACCCAAAATAGTTCCAGTTCCTTCATGAGTGCTGATAGCAAGGAAAAGTCACTGGAGACTGTTTTCCACTGTGAAGAAAGCCAGGCTGACCGGCTCGACCACTTTAACTCCATGCAATCACATCTCTGCTTGCTGAAACTGACAAGCCTATCAACTGCACTTGAGCATCTGATGCTGGTTCTTCTGTGCCCTCTTTGGTAAGAGACTATAATCCCAAATCCCTCACAACAGCATCCACTAGAGCACTGGTTCCCAAATTTTAGCAAGCATCAGAGTGAACTGGAAGACCTGCTCCAAGCCCTCACCGTTGGACTCCGCCCTGAGGTTTGACTGTTAAGTCTAGGGTAAGACTGAAGAACATGCGCTGCTGAAAGGGTTCTCAGGTGATACTGATGTCACTGGTCCAAGGGCCAGACTTGGGGAATCAACACCCCACAAACACCTCAACTAAGACAAAAACACAGGGCCAGGGGAGGCATCTGCCAGAAGAGGGAATTTACCAAGTACTGCTGATAACAATGGCAGAACTACAAGCGTATGTGACCACCTATACCCAGATGTCTACGCTACATTAAATGGAAGTGCCTTAGCAGAATCAGAACCATTGTGTACAAGCACTCCATCAGCCTTGTCTGGGGGGCCTTCTGACTCCCGCTTCAGTAGAGACCATCAATAGGGGCCAGCAAAGCAAAGCAGCTGTTGGTTGCAGAGGGCAGGGGGCTACATGCACACACTCGGGGTGACACCCACAGGCAGAAGCCGAGGCACTCACACTTCCCACGCTTGTCAAGGAGGAAATTCAGGTATGCCAACAAATAGATTTGAGGCACTTCAAAGAATATGTCAGGGGAGAAACTCATTAGTGCATAAATCAGTGAGTGCTGAGACTAAAGACCTCAAATACACTCTCGTGGAGAAACTGGACTTCAGGCAAATCGAGGAGACTGCGTCAACATTCCTGGATCATCTCAGGAATGATCAGCCCTAATACTTACCTTATGGAAAGCAATATTTACCTGTTCTGGTTTTCTGCTGATAAGAATACTTAGCACCTTGCTGAAGAAACTGGCAAGTAGTGGGTTCAAGGGGGAATCATTTAGGAGGAAGCTATACAGTTTCATTAGCAGGGATTCATCCTCCCCAAGTCTATCATTCATCTGGGAGACATCAGAGGTGAGCAACTCACAAGATATATTTGGATACCTAGAAGAATAGGATATTGTATCATCATCTATTAACAGTTAATTACATAAAACACAAACCAGGAAGGCTTCCTAAAATTTTGTTAAAACATCAAAATCTTCTATTGGGAATTAGAAAGCATTTCAATTCATTCTGTCCAACCTCTACACTAAAATGAGTAGGAATATATTTCCCCCCGCAACAAAACCGCAGCGAACAATCCCTCTTGAGCGCAAGACTCAAGAGGGATGGCACACTGTGAGCAGTGGAACACCTCAGTTTTCAGTAGGGAACACAGCCATCCACAGCCCATGATGGCACAGCTTGCAAGACAAGTTAGGGACTGCTAGCTTCCAGAAGCTGCACCACACCCAGTACCTGAGGACTTGAGCCTGCTGTGGGCATGTAGGCAGACCACTCTCTATTTAGGTTGGTTACAAGTGGTATGATAAGATTGTTTTAATAAGCTGCCAAATGTTCAGCCTCTATTACATCTGAAGAGAACATATGTCATAATATACTGAAGGGGAGAACAGGACACCAGCCTGAGTACTGTGGGATGGGGGGTGTGCGCTCTACACAAAACCATCCTTTCCACACGAGCCTTCCAGATCTTCGGAGGACAGGGACAGGCAGCCCTTCAACCACATGAGCCTGTGACGACTAGACTACTTACTTTGACAAGACACGGAGCAGATTTATGTTCTCCATACACACTTCACTACATGCTATTTCAACTATCCCAGGACACTCAAAAGCTTATGCAGACAACACTATCTGATCACAGTCCCCTGTTCTGCTCCAACAGCATTCTTCTGTTAGCCGGCCAGAAGCAACAGCCCCAGCTAGTCACAGGAACAGCAAGCTCAAATGCTGATCAAGTCAGAGAGGAGACAGAGCAGCCCAAAGTGTCCGTCCACATGATGAAAGACAGAGGTAAGAACATGAAGCGTATCTGGAGTACCCAGTGTCCACACACCAAGAGGGTCTGGGTGAGGCTGAAGAATGAGCAGCGTGAGAACAGCCCTAAATGGACCCATGAGAAGGAAGAAGGAAAGGAAGCAGCAGACCTGGCAGGTATGTGGCAGGGGGATCAGTGCCACACAGCTGTCTTCTGGGAGGTTCTGCTCCACCAAAGTCCCCTCACTCTATTAACACAGGCATTCATCCATAAACTTCTATGACATAACCATTACCCAGGGACTGGAGCATGCAGTGGTTCCAGCTGTAGCCATGGGAATCACACTAGGCCAAACCCTATCTCAGCCACTTTACGGGCTGTCTGTCCTTTCCCCCCAGTTTGCAGGTTTGAAACTCAATGTCTGATGGACCTAAAATGGGTTTCTTCATGTTATCTACCCGCATTCCTCCCTATTTCCAATAAACTGCAGAAATGCTGCTGTGAGGGACTGGGGAGTTGTGGGGCACACTGCCTCAACTGTCAGCTGACAAACGAAGGCTTAACGTGAGCCAAATGCAGGGTGTGCTGAGACTCTGTGCAGAAGCTCCCCAGTAGAGAAGCTCTGCACCTTGACAAACTGCTCATGTTGCTGGCTGCCTTGGAGGCATGATCTATTCAAGAAGCAGGCCGGGTAAGGTGGCCTTTAATTGCAGCACTTGGGAGGCAGAGGCAGGCAGATCTCTGTGAGTTCAAGGCCAGGCTGGTCTACATAGTGAGTTCCAGGACAGCCTGGGCTACAGGGAGACCCTCTCTCAAAAAGACCCCACCCCCCAAAAAAGGTGTTATGGGGTCTAGAAGATTGCATTCTGGTTCCAGACAGGTTAGAAATCCTGTCTCTTCCTCTCTCCTTAATATTCCAGCACCCAAGGGTGCCTGCCATTCTAATACTTGGCAAGCACACACACACACCTCTTCATACCTGTACTCTTACCTAGCTTCTTTGAACAGAGGACACAAGTGATCAAGAGAACTCAGCCCTACCGCACCCTGACCTGTATCTGGCCCACGCTCCACGGGCCCTCCATCCCACTCCTCCCCGTGTTGCAGCACAGGGCCCCACCAGACAACCCACTGCCTTGGCTGGCACTGCTTCCTCCGCTTGCACCATCCCCACTAGCATTTGTGCAGATCAACCTTTCTCCTATTTAGGAAAACAAACAAACAGCCACACTGCTCCTGAGTCCACACCTGGCTTCAGTGGCCATGTGTTCTCTTGCCTTTCACTTCGGGACAGCACTTGAAGGCGCTGACCTGGCTTGCTTCTACTCTTCCTCAGAGCCTTTCCAGCCAGGCTCTCAGGACCCGCGTCAATAGGGCTGATCACGCCACACTGCAAACTCAAGGGCTTTCCTAGCAGTAGACCCCAATCAGGGTCTCTCCTCCATGAAGCTTTCTGTGGCTTCGGGGAGACAGCCCCTCCCTGGTCTCTGTTTGCATCTGGCTACTCCTCAGTCCCTGTATGCAGTCCTGCTCCAGTCAACAGCCTCTACTTCCAGTTTCTGCATCTGCCTTCCATCAGTCCTTAGATGATCTCACCCTATTGCATGGCACCCTATGGTCCCACCTACCAGTTGCCACTCCCTGTCTCTACTCCCCTCCCCCTAGGCATCTCCCACCAGACATTTTGAACTTGACAAGGCTGAAGCCAAATGTCTAACCTTTCCCTGGCATGGATCCTCAGTCACAGCCATTCCACCTTCAACTGCCTGGGGCAAACCCTAATGGTTCTTTCTGACCCTTGCCACTCTACTTCCGATCCTAGCCACTGTCCCCAGGAGGCTACGGAGATTTCTTTCTCTGTTGATGTCACAGCTTCTGAACCCACCTCCCCTTTCTATTCCTGTCCTAGAGCCCCAGAGTGGGCAAAGTGGACAAGAAAAGCCAAAGTCAAGCAACGTTACTTGCTACTTAGGTGGCTTATCTCTGGGACTTTTCTGTCCTCGGCCTCAGTTCTCTCCCTCTACCCCAACCTTCATGAGGCTGCCCTGTTGTCCTTTGGATACACCAAATCCACATGCACTTTAGTCAGGGCTTCCGTACTCACAGCCTGGACAATGCTTGCCAAGCATCCCCACATGACAATGCCCTCATTTCCTGCATGGCTCTGAACATAGGCACCTTCTTTTTAAAAGTATTTTATGCTGGGCATAGTGGTGCACACCTTTAATCCCAGCACTCAGGAGGCAGAGGCAGGCGGATCTCTGAGTTCAAGGCCAGCCTGGTCTACACAGTGAGTTCCAGGCCATCTGGGGCTACATAGCAAGACCCTGTCTCAAAAAAACAAAACAAGCGGCCTGGAGAGATGATTCATGATTAAGAGCAGTGGCTGCTCTTGCAGAGGACCCATATTTGGTTCCCAGCACTGACATGGAAGATAACAACCGTCCCTAATTCCAGTTCCAGGGGACCCAATGTGTGGCAATGCCTGCAGAGGACAGAAGAGGCCATTGGATCCCCTGGAACTGGAGTTACGAGGCTGTCGGAGCTACCATGTGGGTGTTGGGATTCGAACCCGGGTCTTCTGCAAGAACAACCAGTGTTCTTAACCACTGAGCCATCTTTCCAGCCCCACAAAGGCACCTTCTTAATGAGGCTTCCTGCTGAACTCTCCTCCCATTCACCAACTTCAGCTGTGCTACCCTGCTTTAATTTTCCCTAGGATGTCCCTGACAAACTATGGTTTTCATCTTAATCTGGCTCAGCCTGCCCACAGCAGTCATACCATCATAGGCAAACTATAAAATTTCCAACTTCGTTAGAGACAACAAGCCAATCTTAATCCTGAAAAGGTTTCCCATTCCATCTGAAAAGCCCTCCATGCTAATATAGGTTAGGTCATCCAATACTGGCTCTGCGTGGACCAGAAGAAACCCCAAGGTCAGACAGTTCAACTCACAGGTTGGTTCACTATAGAGATCCTGAAGCAGCAAGGTATTTACTTGGGGGACAAGGACACATGTGGGACTTACTTCATTCTTCCTTTGTAAGACACTGGTCTCTAGTGGCAGCTTCCACTAAATGTCAGGTGTCAATCTCAATGGCTGGCAGAGAACATGCAAGCCACCAGTAACTGAAAGGGATTATAAGTAGTATTTCCCAAGCCCGGTGTGGTGGTGCACACCTTTAATCCCACCACTTGAGAGGGCAGGGGCAGGCAAATCTGTGTGAAATAGAGCAGACTGGTCTACATAGCAAGTTCCAGGCTAGCTGGGGATACAGAGACCCTGCCTCAAAACAAACCAAAAAAACAAAAAAAACCCCCACCAAACTAAAAAGTATTATTTCCCTAACAGCATAATTCTCCCCAGAAAGAAAAAAGGGGGGGGGATGGGGGGAGCTGTGCAGGGCAGACTGCCTACTCCATAGTTTTACTCGAGGTCAAAAATAACTGAGGCCCCATATTAACGTGTCCATGGAGACTGAAGACCCCATATTAACGTGTCCACGGAGTGCTTCCAAAGTGTTTCCAGGGGTACATAAAGTGTTTACAATGTTAGTAATAAAGGTATCTCAACTGCACTGTGACTTGCTGTCTGTAAGGACACTACATTAAACTGCCATGAGTGGATAAACCCACTGTATTATCTGTGGTGTTACCTGCTTAAATATAGCTTTGCTAATGTTCACCAAGACCCACGCCCAAATTTTCAAACAGAGGGCTGATTTCATTATGAACAACGCTCTTCAATCCCAAACTCCAACTCAGACCTCTAGGTGACATGGGGCAGTGATCCCATCTTGGCTTCTTATTTGGAAAGGAGGGAAGATACTTACTTGGATTGTTTTACTACTGAGAAACTGCTCATCGCTCTATAAAGCAGGCTGTCCTTCCCACTGAGATTCAGAACATTCACTTTAGACTCCTGTGATTCCCTGGACTCAGCTCTAGAATGGACCATGTGCCCTATGAAGCCTGTTGCTCTTGACCATCTCAACTTTCTGTCAACAGCTACAGTGGCTCTAGAAAATTCTTGCATAGCAAGAAGTATCACCTTCTAACCCACTTCACTTTAGCCCCACCCTAAAAAGAAGATTGAATTTTCTTACTTGTATCTGATCTTTTCATCCATGTCTTGAGGTGGTTCTTCTATAATGAATGAGACTAAATCTTCGAGACATTCTGCTTTTAACAGAAACTCTATAAGTTTGCGGTTCTGAGCTTTACATTCCTGTAAAACGTCTTCCTCATCCATTAACTCCTTCAGTGTTACATCTTCTCTTTCTAGAAGTGTGTCTATGTGGGATGATGAGTGAAGATCAAATTTCCAAAACATGCTGGTCTAAACAAAATGCAGAGAGTATTTCATAAAATTACAGCTTTCCTTATTAAATTTCCATAAACCAAATTTCAGTTTGGTCTTAGTCCAAAATGCCAACTTGACATTAACCTGTAAATGCAAACAGTTTCATACTGAACCTACAAAATTATATTTTTGGGAGGTGGGGAGGGGGTAGGGTTTCACTATGTAGCCCTGGATAGTCTGAAACTTGCTATGTGAACCAGACTGACTTCCAACTCACAGAGATCTGCCTGCTTCTGCCTCCCAAGTGCTGAGATTAAAGGTGTGTGCCACCAAGCACAGCCTCAAATAATTACTTCTTAAAAACTTACCATTTTGTGTGTATGAGTGTTTTATCTGCATGTATAGTAAACACACCAGTGTCATACAATGCCCATGGAGGCCAGAAGAGTAGGTATCCGATCCCCTGGAGTTAGAGTTGCAGGTGGTTGTTAGCCAGTAGGTCAATGCTGGAAACTGAATCCAGGTTCTCTGCAAGAGTAGCCAGTGCTCTTAACCTCTGTGCCATCTCTCCAGCCCCTCAAATAATTTTTTCAAAAAACTTAAAAAATTTTTATTTACTATTTTTATTTTATGTGTATGCATGAATTGCCTGCATATAGGTAAGTGTACCTGTGTCATGCAATGTCCATGGAGGTCAGAAGAGGCTGTCAGATCTCCTGGGACTGGAGTTAAGGACAGTTGTTAGCTACCATGTGGGTGCTGGGATTTGAACCTGGGTCTTCTGCGAGAATAACCAGTGTTCTTAACCACTGAGCCATCTCTATTTTTAAAAAAATATTTTATTATTTTTTTCACTTTTTGTGTACAAGTGTACATGTAAGTGCACCTGTGTCAAATGGAGGTCAGAAAAGGGCATTAGGTTCCCCTGGAAGTGGAGTTATGGATGGTTGTTAGCTGTCATGTGGATGCTGGGAATAAAACCTGGGTCCTCTAGCCAGTGCTCTTAACCACTGAGCCATTTCTCTAGCCCCTCAAATAATTTGTTTTTGATTTTTTTGAGACAGGGTCTCCCTGTACCCCCACCCCCAACTGTCCTGGAACTCACTATGTAGACCAGGCTGGCCTTGAACTCACAGAGATCCACCTTGCCTCTGCCTCCCGAGTGCTAGGACTAAAGGCATGTGCCACCACACCTGGCTCAAATAATTTCTTAATGAGTAACACTGGTAGGGTTTTTTCCCCCTTCTCTGAAAATACTTAATTGGTTAAAATGTTGAAAATGCTGAAAGCTAAACTTGGAATGATTTTTAACTTGCAAAAGTAATTAATCTACACCAGAAATGGTGGCACACGCCCCTAATTCTAGCACCTGGGACAGTGAGGCAGGAGGTGGTCAAATCTGAGGTCAGCCCAGGCCACACAGCAAAACCCTGTCACAAACAGAAGAGAAAGGGGGAAAAAGTAATTAATTCATACTTTGTTAAGATTTGATGCTGGAGAAATGGCTCAGTGGCACTTGCTGCCAAGTCTGACAACCTGAGTTTGCTCCCAGAGGGTGGCGAGAGCGGCTCCCACAAGCTGTCCTCCGACCTTCACAAGTGTCAAGGCATGCTACCTGCATGCTCCCACCCCAGCAAATGGTAATTTTTGAAAAAGCTAAGAACCGAATGCTGAAGCTGGGGCAGCAGCGCAGCACACACCCCAAATCTCAACACCTGGGAGGCTGAGGCAGACTGCTCAATGTTTGGGCCAGCCTGGCCTACACTGTGAAGCACGATCTCAAAAACAAAAACAAAACAAACAAAAAAAACTACAAAAAGTTTAATGCTGAGAAAGGAAGAAAGCAACTCCTTTTGGAAGGACAAAGAATACATTCTTCAGAAGGCCATCTTTAGCAACGAATGGTAGCATGGGGCTCAACCAGAATGCTCTGTTACAAAGGAAGTAAATGATCACTGCAAAGCAGCACTTTTAGCTCTTTGGTAGCCAAACGCCGTGTCATAAAACACAAGTCCTGAAAGAACTAAAAAACCCGAGCTTAATTATTGAAGAATTAGAGAACTTTATTATATTACATCACCACAACAGACAATAACAATCAAGTGTAAAATAATTGCTGCACAACAGCACAGGCGTACACTCCATCCTCAACCTGGTCTTGACTCCCCTCGATCACAGAAAGCTTGCTCAAATCAGAGCCTAAAGAGGCACTTAGTTGTTACCTGTAGAAATGTGAACAGAGGCTGCATGATGTCTCAAAGTCACTTCTGAGCAGCAGGTGACAAGATGAAGGCATCCACCACAAACCCTCAGCTGCAACAGAACCACAGTGATTGAGGCTATTGAAGATGCTCACTGCAGACTTCCTGAGTGAAGGTGTGGTGAGGCACACCCACACCATGTACCCAATCAACACCTCTCCACCAACACAACTTAGCTACCCACAGGGCAAGTGCTTCCTGTTAAGACTATCACCAAAAAGAGCACGTTAGTGCCACGTGCTACTTACAAGCACCTGCATAATGGAAGGAAGGTCCTATCTGTGTGAAGTAAAGCACACATAGCTTTTACAGGGGTATATTTCGCTAAATTCACCCACACTGGGCATGGTGGTGCACACGTTTTAATCCCAGCACTTGGGAGTCAGAGGCAGGAGGATCTCTACGAATTCCAGGCCAGCATGGTCTACATAGTGACTTCCAGTCCAGCCAGGGCTACAGAGTGAAATCTTGTCTCAAAAAAAAAAAGGGGGGGGGATCATATAAACTATTCTAGCCAGGCACGGTAGCCTCAGACTGTAATCCCAGTATCAGGAAGCTGAGGCCAGAAGACTCCAAGCACAAGGGTAGGATGGGCTACATGGTAGGACCATTTGCAGAAAAACTGGAATCAGAACTAACAAAACCTGGGTATGGGAGAGAACAGGTGAGGCAGGACCCCACGTAGCTCTCCTGGTCCCTACCCTCCCAGGACTTCCAAGTGAACACTGCCATCTTAGGTACACAAACCAGGACCAAAAGATTTGGCTCTCAAATAAACCTACTCCTTGAACTGGTGACAGTATTTTCATGGTACCGAGGCTCATCCAGGAAGGAAATGTGGGGCACTACCCGCCCCGGCCCCAATTTCAGTGTTTTAGCACTGACAGTATCTAGGAGGAAGGCACGCCTCAGCTCTGGACAGAGATGTGGGAAAATCATCTGTGAGAGGTGTGAGATCACGTCGTAGACCTGCCAAGGCCCTGCTCACAGAATACCAGACAATCCGACAGGGGGCCAGGCAGTTTATGAAAACAACTGACAACCACTTACTAGCTTCCATCAAGTAAGAGTGCTGCCCCGAGGACCTTTTCCGTACAGACGTTGACTCCAGCACCAGCTCTACTGCCGTCGCAGCTGGCGGCCACCTCACCATTCTAGGTCTCCATCTCTCCATCTCCTCACCAAATTAACTGCTTGTGGGCAGGAACAGGCAGCGGGAACCCACAGCGGACAGCAGTCACTGTGCAATGCACAGGCCCGACAAGACCACTGGGAACTCTGGAGCAGCACTTCCCACACTTCCCAGGCACACGGACCACCTAACGGTCTCAAAACACAGCCTGGGATTCTGGCTCAGGAAAGAAGGGCTCCGGCCTGGGGCTCTGCACATCTAGAAAGTGCACAGATGTGCCTGATGCTGTGAGTTTAAACCACGCTTATCAGCTGTCATTCACATTTTCACAAAGTGCAGTAAATATCATCAAATGCTCATATGACCATGAAGAGCAAACTATGCAAACATGGGCCTGTGCTCTTAGTTCCAACACAACACATCTATTACTCTCTGAAAAGCCCAGAGAAGTAACCCACAGATATGCTAAAAGACAAGCTACGAGAAGCTGGACGGAAGCGGCCAGCAGGAGTGAGTGAGCTGCGCATCATGGAATGACAGGAAGAACTCTAACGAAACCCAAATTCAGAATCCCGTAGGAAGGAACTCTGCTTCAAGGAAACAACTTTCTACATAAAGGGAAGAAGCCAGACTCTACCAAGCTCCCGTTCTGCACCATCTGTGAGATGCTACACCCAGGACTGCTGGGCCCAAGGCAAAATGTCCAAAGATTCCAAAAACAGTCAGATTCAAGACTGTGATGCATTTGAAGACACAAGTGAAGCATGAAGACAGCCGTTCTAGCATGGGACCCTGCGCGACGACACAGCCAACGCCTCGGCAGCCACGTGTGCCGGTACCACATCAGAACTGGCCCCACAGGAGTCCTTGTGAGTCCATCTCCAAGGTGAACACTGATAATATGTACCACACTTGCAGTAAACACAGTGAGGTATTTGTAGCTTAAACAGTTGCAGCTATCTAAACATATGGCACACAACAAAGTACACAAATAGAAGCAGCTGCTTCTGCCCAAACAACACATGGGAAAGACCTCAGCATTAACATGTCAGGAAGAGAGTATTTTAAAATACAAATTTGACATTATCTTATGAATGTATACAAAAGCACAGAAGCACATACTATTATATCCCAAGTCCTTTCAGCCCTCCCAAGAGGCCCCCTAGAACCCAAGTGATGCCAATCTAATACAAATACCATGTGAGCCATATCTATGTTTAACGTTTCTGGTAGCCACATCGAAAAAGTAAAAGTGAGAACCAGGGAGAGTGCTCAGTCAGTAAAGTTTGCTTGCTATGCAAGCATGAGGATCTGAGTGGGGCCCATAGAACACAAGCAAAAAAGCCAGGGATGGTGATGCACAATTACAACCCAAGCACCGAGGAGGCCAAGACAGGTGAATCCAGGGGACTTGTTGACCAGCAAGTGTAGCCTAATCAACAAGGGCCAGACCAGCAAGAGATCCTGTCTCAAGAAACAAGGTGGACAGGTCCTAAGGTTCATATATATGCACCTGTACTACACACGTACTAACACACACACACACACACACAAAGGTGAAAAGAAACCACTGAAAATCCAATGTCTATTTTATACTTACAGCACACTGCTCAAGAGCCAAAGGCCACCCACCAATGGCTCCCCCACCCCACAATGCAGCTCTGATTTTATGCAGTCATGATGCAGGGCAGGCACTGTAGAGCGCACCTGTGATCCCCAGCACTTGGGAGGCCAAGGCAAGAGGAGTTCAAGTCCAGCTGTCTCAGCTACATGCGACTTTGTCTCAAACACTCGGAAAAGCCAAGGTGGGTGGCGAGAAGTTATAGACTATGCTTTCTTTATAAAAAATGAACAACAGAGCTGGGCGTGAGGCAGCCTGGTCTACACAGTGAGTTCCAGGTCAGCTTGTACTACAGGGAGACCCTGCCTCCAAAAGACCGAAAAAAAAAAAAAAAAAAAGAACAAGAGAGCTGGGGTTAGTGGCGCACGCCTTTAGCTCCAGCACTTAGGAGGCAGAGGCAGGTGGATCTCTGTGAGTTCAAGGCCAGCCTGGTCTACATAGTGATTTTCAGGCCATATGGGGCTACAGAGAGATTCTAGCTTAAAAAGACCAAAAGAAGGAAGAAGAAAAAAAAAAATGAACAAGAGGGGTTAGAGAGATGGCTCAGTGGTTACTCTTACAGAGGACCTAGTAAGAGTCCCAGCATCCACAAGGCAGCTGACAGCCGTCCATAACTCCAGTTCCAGGGGATATGATGCCCTCTTCTGACCTCTGTGGGCACTGCATGACACAGGTGCACTTACCTACATGCAAGCAATACACTCATACACATAAAATAATATTTTTTTGAAAAATGAACAAGAGACATCATGTGCAGTCTTGAAATACAACTTGGTCAGACATTCTTCACTCAAGGAAACCCTAAGAATGTCACAATGTCTAGGCTCTCTAGTATCTGGGGTATACAACAATAACAAGGACATGCTCAAATTCTGCACCTTAAAATAATGCAGAAGGCTAGATCAAGACAGGCACAGACTGGTCAGGGCTGGTTTAATTAAATTAGCTAAATTCTGGGGCTGGAGAGATGGCTCAATGGTTAAGAACACTGACTGTTCTTGCAGAAGACCTGGGTTCAAATCCCAGCACCCACATGGCTCCCAGCACCCACATGGCGGCTAACAACTGTCCATAACTCCAGTTCCAGGGGATCCGATAGCCTCTTCTGTCCTCCTCGGACACTGCAGGACATGGGTGCACTTACCTACATGCAGGCATAACACTCATACACATAAAATAAAAATAATAAAATATATATTTTTTTAAATTAGCTAAATTTTTTAAAATAGGTGCATGTCTCTGATAATCTAGTCCCTTATATAACCTAACTCAAAAACATAGTAAGAGGGAGAAAACGCCTAGGTAACTCATACTGTTAGGAAACGGTATCTGATCAATGATGAAAAACAAAACCAAGCAGGGCATGGTGGTGCATGCGTTTAGTCCCAGCACTGAAGAGGCAGAGGCAGGCAGATCTCTGTGAATTTGAGGCCAGTCTGGTCTACGTAGTGAGTTCCAGGCCAGCTGGGGCTACAGGGAGACCCGATCTCAAAAATATCCCTTCCCCCATAAAGACAGACAAAAATCAAAAGTGTAACCAGGATCTTCACACACCCTGGAAAAGGCCTCCTAAGATCCAGAACAATCTGCTCGCTCCAGGAACAGACACACGGACGGCAGAACTCTGGCTGCATTTCCAAACAGCTGTGGAACAGGATGCACTGAAGCAGCTCAGCTGCTGCAGGCCATTCGTACTGCCTCAGCTACTTGTGTGGAGTCCAGACCTGGGGCTTCAGGACAGCTCAGTCTTGGATTCCTATCTGACAAGGTCCCAAGGAGGAATGTAGTACAAGAAGGGTTTGGTGGTTGCTACTGGCATGCTCCAAGCTGCATGCCACTAAGAGGAGGACGGCGAGTAAAATATCTATAAATAGGAGAATGCAGAGTCACTGTGATGGGAGGCTCTTCATGGGTTGTGAGCTAGCGATAAACTCTTTCCCCTGACAGCCAGGCTCAATGCTAGGAAACAGGACTTTCACAAGAGAAAGAAACATGAACGTAAAGAAGAAAAAACAGCTGAATTTCAGAAATGTTTCTAAGTAGGAAAGAAAAAGACCACAGAATAACTAGAAACCAAGTATAGTAAAAATGTCAATGCCATGAACTCACCAAGGCTTATGCCCCCCCATTAATTAAATCAAACAGGGTCTATTAGATACAATGTGTGTGACCACATGTTCCTGTGTATGTGCACATGTAGAGGCTAGAGGCTGACATTAGATGCCTTCCTCAATCACTGCCCCCCTTATTTAACCTGGAGCTTGCCAATTCAGCTGGGCTGGGTGGTCGACAGGCCCCA